AATCTAATTACACGTTACATCTAAGATTAGTTTGTTGTTGCAGCAATCCAAAAATGTTCATCCACACAAATACAGACAAGTGAAAGTGAAAATTCCAATTCTACAAGCCACCGAAGAAGACTGAGAAATAATCAAATAGACTTTGATAATGTAATAAGTTACTTGAGAGAGGTTCAAATAGCTTTTGATGACACACACACATTTCTCATATATTTCAATACGGGGTTCTTAGCGCATAAATCACAGCCACACCCAAAATTCAGAAAAATGTGTAACGAAATTTATGTATGTATCTAAATCGTCAAAAGAATAAATATAGAATGGGAAAAATGATGCAACTATATTTAATATTGAATCAGTCATAGAAAAATTCAATTCGAGAACTCTCTTTTGCAAGGATTGCTTAGTTTTCCTTGTGCGTAGACTTTGAAAATTATCTCTTAAACTTAGTGCTGTATAGTCTAACGGTATTTTGATGTATATACCAGCATTATTTTGTATTTGGTTTGAAGTATTTGAACATGATCATGAAGCTGGTCACATTAATAACTAACATATTATAAGCTTTGATACTATCAGACTGGCAGTTCAGATCCGTATTGGGAGTAAAGCATGTTTGGAATATTGGAACAAATGTTTTGTTTTGTTTGTTTGTTCTTTTTTTTTTTTTTTTTGAATATAAACAGTAGTTTTGATATGCAGCCGAGAAGTGTGCAGCAATTGCAAATAATACAGCTCAACAACTTGAAACTTGTCAAATGCTGGTGGAAAAAGTGCGTTTTCCAACACATTTTTGGTAAAGCTGCTTTGTAGCAAAGTAGGCGACGGTCACGCCAGAAAAGATGACTAGCTAAAGGACAGCAGTTGTGGCAATTCATTCTTTCACAAATTTTCGCAGTGAGCAGAGCTCTTGAAAGTAGAAAATAAAAAAAGTAAAAATTAAATTCCTCTCTCTGAGTCGTTGTGTCGAGCAATCTTTGGTTTTTCGCATTCCCATCCCCGCGTGCAACTCCGTTCCCATAATAGTGTAACTGTAATTTTTAGTCACAAGAAGACATCGAACGAAGAAAATATGGTTCCAGTTACCAAACCGAACACCAAGGAGGTGCAGTGCCAGCTCGCTGCCTGCGATGAGACCAAGCAGCAGCCGGAGACCATTGTCACTCCGAAGAGCGGCCGCGTGGGCATCTTCAATGCGGAGGACTTTTTGTCGCGTGCCCAGACGAACGACAAGATCAACAATATCTTGCGCTCGCCCACTAAAGCCCCAAATGGCGTGCGCCAGCGATCGGTGTACACCAACAACAACCCGTCGCCGGTAAGTCCAGCTAAGAAAACTTTCCCTTTGACAGCCTGTGTGAGACAGTTTTATTATTTTTTTTTTTTTGACAGTGGGTGTGTGTGTGTGCGTGTGTTAAAGGTACTCGTTTGAAAAGTTCAATGTCAGATAAATCATTTAAAATGAATCTATATCATTTGAATCTTATGTTCTTTATTAAAAAATAATTAAGCGTGAAAATGCAATTGTTTCGACAGCGCTGTATTTTTGTATTTGCATCCATATTATAATAAAGTTATAAATAATCAACTCTATATTTCGCTGTTGCTCACACGGTTCAAAATACAAGAGCTCATTAATATATAATATAATATTATGTATATATGTATATATATATAATTTTTCTCAATGGTGGTATATTATAAATTTAACTTTTGATAACTCAAATGGATCTACGCTTTTGTAATATCGTCTCGAGAATGCTGAAGAGCTGTTTGCCATTTGCATACTAATTTTTATTGAATTTGCAGCAGTCGTCGATGCGCTTGTCTACTACGGCTGTTTCGTTATCAGCACGGATGAGCAGCATGTCACTGAACAGCGGCAGTGCCAGTGTGGGCACCAATACTTCTGTGCTGGCCAAGGAGTGCTCCAGCCAGACAAATGCCATTGGTGCTACTGGCTCCTACCGGACCATCGGCATGAGCATGCACCAGTCGCAGCCGCTATTGACCGCTGTTGCAGACTTAGAGCCTTTGGTCCTGAGCACCAAATCGTTGACTGCTCGCTTCGCAGGCCCATTTGGGTATGAGACTGGTGCTTACTGTCAGGTATGTAAAGTCTTAAGTCCTTCGATGGACCAGTTTAACATCCACTTTACTTCTAGCCACAACCGCAACCACCCATGCACCACACTCAGCAGTTCCCTTCGCCAATGCCGCCACCACCTCATGCTCTGGGTCGCGTTAGTTCGCGCACCTTTGAGTTTGAAAATAGTCCGCCACCACCACCACCCTGTCCTGGCTCAGGGCCGATTGCCATGTCCAATGGCACGATTCAGCTGCGCCTGCGCGAAGGTGTTAGGTGCGTACTCCAAATTATCAGTTGAATTAAAATACTAATCGTATTGCATTTCAGGATTGACATGACTCTGGACAAGGCAGTGCGCGTGTTGAATCAGCGCAGCATGGTGGCCGTGTCCTTGTCGCGCAACGGAACAAACTCTGCCCTGATCCATCCAAATGGCCGCATTCTGCAGAGCGGCTCCAAGGTGGAGATCGTCACATATGACGGCATGAAGGCCAACAACTTTGTGTGAGTAAATCATTTTAAACATTGCTTGCGTTATTGAAGATATTAATTATAAATACTCATGTGTTTAATGTTTGAGCATATTTCAAATTGTTTGAAACTTTTTATTGCAGGCGCTACGCCAAAATGTGGTACAAGGGTGTGAGCTTCACTAGCGAGTCTTGCGCTTTAATTTATCTGGTAGACACCGCTGGAACACGCACCACAACCGACACTTTCACTGACCTGACCAAGGACTACACTCTGGCAGTGTTTTATGAGTGAGTAGCAGACTGTGTCTAATCGAGGCTTATATTGACTGAACACACTTTCAATAGCGACTCACGCCACGGTCCCTCTTTTGTGCCGGATGCACAGGAGGTGATTGCCAAGTCATCGTACAGTTGCGCAGACGACGGCACCGAGATGTACGACATCAACGGCTTTCGCATTATTCAGGCCGCTGATGGCCTGGTGAAGGTGACTCGCCAGCACAACAAGGGCCTCATTCGCACTAGCCCTGGCAACGGATCAGTCACTCTAACCACCCTTGGCATCCACTGCACCGCCTCGTTAGGCAAGACCTCGCATCTGTTCTTGCGGTGTGTTTCAATTCCTAGTGAAACAGCAAATTCTACTACAAATAATTTTGTTTATTATCCCTTTTCAGTCGCAATGAGAAACGCATGCACTTCGATGGATCGAATTTCATAGTACGCAATGCTGGACACTCGGCGGGATTTAACGAGAACAACCTGCTGATTGTCTACTAACTTGCCATCGTCTTAAACACAACCGCACACTCACGAAAGACACACATATACATAAACAGACAACATCTAGACAGTTTTGGGGACTGTTGCGCTGCCGTAGCGTGGAGAGAGTAATAACCAAAAATAATATTAACAGAAAAAGCTTGAAACTTGAAAAAGGCTCGCAATAGGCGCGAGCAACGCTAACGACATTCTGACCATATGTATAACATAAAAGACCTAAGGCCCAATCTCTGCGTGGTTGGGTAGCTTCTGGATGTCTTTCGTTACTCGACGTAAGCGCAACGAAACTAAAAAGGAATTCGTTTTTAGTTATCTTTTCATACTCTAACTTTTTGATATATCAGTGAGAATTTAGTAAAAACAAAAAAAGGAAAAAAATACCAACTTTGGGACACGTGTCCACTGCCCTGCCTACTACTTGAAAACGCTGACCCTTTTGGCAGATTGAATGATGCCAGCGTTTTAGTTTTTAAGGCTCATTTTGGCATAAGAAAAGACTTCTCTCTAACCAAATTTCTACAAAAAAAAGACGTAAAATTAAAAAAAAAAAATGAAGAAATGATTTACATACATAAAGAAAAGCCTTAAAAAATTTTCACATGCTAACAAAATTTAAAAAAAAAATTAATTCGCAGCATGGCGCGAATATGTGTGTGCAACAATTAGTAGGCAGTGGTCTTAAGAGGTGGCTGTCCCTCTGATCGAACGCTGGACTGATTTAGGTGACAGTGCCAGTGATATTTTTATTTACATGTTACAGTTAAGATTAGTTTGTGGTTTCTGCAATCCAAACATGTTCATCCACACAGATACAAAGTGAATATTGTTACATTCTGAATTGAAAATTCAAAGTGAACAATCCCACAATTTTAACACACTTACGATGCACCATAGAAAAGTGAGAAATTAGCAAAGTGTTTAGCACAATACAAGCTTATATTACGTAGCCGACAATACTTGACTTAATGTTAAATACAATTAATGCAAGTCCAATCGTCTTACATGCGAACACTACACAACCACTTTTAAACTTTAGACAATTTTGGGTTTTTTATTGTTCAAGCTAGCCCCAAAGCTTGAGTTTTACGAGCCTTACGACAATCTCCGACACCCAAAATCACAAGCATGTATAGCGAAATTAATGTATGTATCTAAATCGATAAAAAAAGATAATAAATGTATTTTAAACAAATTGTGAATGTGGACAAGGACACGTCAGTGCTGGCAGCCCTGGTCAAGGACAACATTTTCATATTAAATGAGTTTTTTCAAGATGAAAGCTATAACTTCTAAAGGTGCCCAGTTAGCTAACCATAACCCTAAACCGTGGCATTCAGACGAGCATCCAAGACGGAGGCTCGTAAATTTTCAACGAAATTGCTTTATGGCGCATTCGCACACCTGCGTCCATGCAGCCACGCCCTGAGCTACGAAATGTCCCTTACCTATCGTAAACCAAGTAAGAAGAAAAAATATATGCACTTATGTGTGGGTCACTTTGGTACAATCGTGTGGGTAATTACACAATTGCCTTTGCCAGAGCGCAAAGAGTATTTACAATAGTCTTTTGTCCAATTAAAATCTTTTTCATTTTACAACATTTTCTTAGCTCCGACCTATTGGGTATATATGTTATTTGCTTGCGCTGTGGTTACCTGTAGACATATCCAAAAGCATAAGGAGATCGGATCGGCTGTCATATAGACTAATGCTTCCAAAATGCTTGGGGTTGAGGCTGAGTCGGGCTGCTGCTGCTGCTGCTGCTGCTGTTGCTGTTGATAAAGATTATTGGATAACACTTGGCCAACAATGTTCGATTCTGTCATAGGAAGAGAGTTGAACCATTGTTAAAGAGAGATAGATTTCAAGGCAACGACAACAAGCAGCTAACATCGACTAGACGAGCAGAATTGGATAGAATATAGATACATTGAGCTGAAGTTACATGAAGCGGAAGCAAAGGTGAGAGGTGTGCAGTTAATATCAGATAGATAAAAAGAGAGAGAGAGAGAGAGCAGCAGCAACATCTACTTATAACCAAAAACTTACTTAAGTGTGACATTTGCGGAAGGTCGGTCTGATGGGTGTTTTATTTTTATGCGTCTGTGTAAGTGTGTACGAGTGTGTGTGGATGAGTGCTTTCATAATAGAGAGTCGAGTCGAGGGTAGTGAACCGTACTGCGCCTATGTGTGTAGGAAGTCCCGACATCGCATCCAAATCGTTTGCCTCATCTCGTTAAGGGCCATAGATGTGGCATATTCAATGCTCACGGTTGCGTGCCTCTTGGCACACGCTGCGCACAGGATGGAGGATGAGGAAGAGGAGGTTGTGGAGGTGGAGTTGGAGGGAAAACGCTTGTGCCCAACATCAAACGCTTTTCACACTTAATTGGGCATAAAATTAAATCAGAATTGATTAAAACACTTGAATGACAACGAAAAGCAACATCAGCAACAGAAACAGCCGCTCAAATTCGACACAACAGCAACACGGACGGCAACAGCTTCGACATGCCCTTCCTCCTATTGGAGTCCGCCTTAGTCCTTCGAAGTAAGTATATACCAAAGTTTTGGTTTCGGGTTTCCCCAGCTGACGCATCGCTATCGACCTGATTCTGTACTAACTTTAGCCGACTTCAGTCAACTTCTCACATCCGCGCGGCCAACAGGGGGCGGGCCAAGCCTTTCGGTCAGAAGGGAGTGCGTTAATTGCTCCCACTCATCGCCTGGCCAAAGTTTATAAAATTCAATTCCGTTTTAGGGCACTCTGCACAAACAAATTACGCGACTGCGCCAGAGAGAGACAAAGAGAGAGAGAGAGAGAGAGAGGTAGAGAGAGAGGGAAAAAAACAACTTTATGTATTACCATTTAATGTGCTGTCAATTATTCGAGGCCAGCTTTGAATTTTATGCCACAGACAACGGACTAAAGACATGTCTTATTACATTCTAATTTATGGTCATAAATCTCGAAGCATGTCAATTTGCATGCCAGAGAAAAAAGGCAAAGATATTCAAAGGAAATCGATTCCATTTCCGCCCAAGGAGCTCCGAAGGCATGTAACAGACCAAAGATATAGTTTGGGTTGAAATTAAGTAAGATAGTAATTAATGCATAGCATTAAAGCGTTTTATTGGGAAAAATAAGGTACTTTGTTATATACATAGAGCCCGTTTTTCTTAAGTTTTGACTTGTTTGCACCTCCCAAACAAGCTGCCAAAGAGGCAACCGCACTGTTTACAAGAAAAGTTGTATCCTTCGCGCCGAGTGAAAGACGTGGGTTTCGGCTGGTGGGCTGTCAGTGGAGCCGTCAATCAAATAAATCAAAGGAACAGTCAATTGCCAGCGAATTGGTAGCTACTCCGGAGAAGGTGGGCACAGGATCAAAGTAAATTGTCAGCGATGCGTATTTCCCCTACGCACAGAGGGCGCTGCATTACTCTAGCTAAATTTTGGATGTTATTTGATCAGTTTTCCCCTCTCGCTACAGTCGTGATTAAGTGCGAAACCGATGGCAGCTCCCTGCCGTAATGGCTATGGATGACATGGCATCCAGTTGAAAGTGTGCCTGGAGCAGATGTTGTTCGAGTAACTTAAGATATGGGTGTCACAACATTTATGGCTGGTTGTTGAGGGCGTCTGTCAAAGGTGATTGCCGTCGTCTGCCGATTTCATGAAATATGCACAATAAATTTGACTGACAAGTAAATGGTGCCGGGGACAGATTTATGAGGTAAACGATTGACAGCTACTATTGAGGCATTGCTATATTGATTGTCATTTCAATTACTTAATTAAAATGCACGCTAATCAATTAAATCAATTTACTTCAATAGCTAATCAGATTTCAATGTTGCCTTCCAGGAACACGAGGAATTTCAACTTCAGCGAATCTCAACTTCAGCAGGTGCCTTGCACAAGTAATTACAATCAGGACTGGGACAGGACCTCCCTCGCTCCTCGCTCCTCGCTTCCCCATCGAAAACGAGCAGAACAAACTGCCAAATTCCAATTCCCTTTTGCCGTACTTGGCAACGACTTGGCAGTTGACTAAACCAATAGCTGGGAAGACGTGACAAAAACCACAATATATAGGACTACACATATTCGTGCTTTTACATTTTTGAGTCGGCATTCCATTCCAGATTGTAAATGAAGAATATATGTAAATGACTTACGTATACTAAACTTGTGGGTGAGTAAATAATTGGCTTGGCTAATTTCCCGAACATACCCTCCTGATAACATATCAAATGAAATATTTTTTATTTATATTTCTTATCAATATACGAGACAATGCGGGCTCCTTTTTGTAGCTGCTGTTGGCCCTGTTTTGGCTGCTTGGTAAGCAATTTATTTTGGTATTGAATTCGATTATCTCTTCCGAAAGTTGCCTCATTAATTATTTATGTGCTTGATTAATGCGTACACCCTTTTCCGCATCACTTGGGATTTTGTGTACCAAAACAGTTTGATGTATTTGAGGAGTCATTGAGTTATTTCTGTTGGTTTTCTCATTAGGTCTGCAAACACTCGCGATTTTAAGTAAAATGTTGACTCACCAATAAATTGACTTCAATTAGAGTCAAGGGGCGAGTAAACGTTTTGAACTCTATTTAAGAGAAAAACTTAGTTATTACCTCAAAAATTTCACCGAAACAGCAGCTGAGACAAAACATGCCACAGTAAGCCTCTAATGGACGGCCTTTAAACTGTCATTTTGTGGGCAGAGAAACTCAAAGCTGTACTTAAATTTTATACAACTAAAACTTGAGCTAAAGTTTTCATGCCAAGCACACAAAGCCACAACAACAAGAAGCGAAGCGATTTTGATTTTTGCATACTTTTGTGCGCTTTGTGGAAGAACGTGACTCGAGACAGAGAGAGCATGTTGAACGAATATATGTATACATCTTTGTACCCATATATGAGCACATATACATATGTATCTTTGGAATATGTATCGTTTCCGTTTCCGTTTCCTGTTCTTAAGCAGCAACTGAATAGTATGCCAAAATGTTGTGTATGGCCCAGGGCGAGTTCTCTAGTTGCCATTGGCGTTGGCAATTTTCGATATGCATATGACAAGTTCTTGATGACACATTCTCAATTCTCAGTATTTCTCATCCAGCACCCATTGTAAGTCGCATGCAAAACAGGGCGGCAGGTGGGGCAGCGCTTTAATTAAGTCGCAAATCCAACCAGTCTTCAGGCCAGGAGACCACTCCTACACGTCCCAATCTTTCCCCTTTTGAAGTGGGTTGTCCTATTAGAATGCATGCGTTTTGGCGGTGTGGCAAGTAATTCTCATTATTTCTCATTAAAATTCATTAACATGTTATGTCTGGCGTTTAATATTCACCTGTTCATCTGCTCGGCAGTTCAACTGGAGTGCCTGCTTTTGCCCCTTCTCCCCCTTCTCCACTGGCACTTATTATTTGGCTCGACGTTCCAATTAAGTCTAATGGTAAAATGTTGTTAAGCAATTAAATTGCTTTTGTTTTCACCGCTGTTTCCCTTGCGACGGCTCAGACACAATATCCCCGCCCATGTAATAAAAAGTCGACTCAAATCAAATTACCGCGGGCATTAAAATCAGTAAAAAGTGCTGCACTATGGCGCTGCCGACAACGACTATAAAAATAAAGCCGACTATTTTAACAACTCATCTTGGAAATAATGAAATGAACTTTTATCTGTTGCGATTACAATTTTAATTATTTAATTTAACTGGATGTCACTATAAATATAAATTTTTATTGCAAATGATTTGATCAGCTTAAAATAGCTCGAAAAATGAGATTGCTGAAATCCGATTGTAATTTTACACATTATTTCATTCTGTGTACAGATTCAAATGTTAGTGTTGTACAAGTCTGCTTTCATTGTGCAGTACACTTATCGATAGATCGATCAGCACATATTTTCTATCGAGCAAGTGCAATGTAAAATACCAATATCATAATTTTTTTTTGGTATTTTAGCAGTTCACGGCATTTGGTCACTATTCAATAAAGCTACCATGCGTTTTGCGTGATCCGTACTTTAATTAGTTTTAAATGTGTTTGTGCTTTGTGTGCTTTAATAACTCTGTTCGACTGGCCGTAGACCTTAAATGTGATCTTGTGTGACATCCTCCACTTTGAGAAATGCTTTGGGATTATCTATAAAGCCGATTTCGTGTATTAAGCTTCAAGCGGATCTACATGCCACAATACCTACAAGGTAAAAATGATTAAATTGTACTTACATAGTGAGTGAGGCCATTGATGTGGTTGCCGTCGGCGGCTGATTCTCTTCGCCGTACTCCTGCTCCTCCTTCAGCCTCTGCAGCTGGCTTTGTGTGTGAATGCGGATGCGGGTGCTGTTGCTGTTGCTGAGGTCGTGGTCCGGTGAGCGGGCTAGTGGGCGGCAGTTGTGGGGCGTTGCTCGTATATCTGCCGCTGTCGCTGCCGCTGTGTGTGTTGGAGGGCAATGGTGAGGCTGGCGGAGTGGGTTGCGGTTGTGGAATTGAGGGGCCCGTTCTGTTGCGTAAACGGGCCAAAGCACTCCGTAAACCCTCCGTATTGTCTTTGTCGGGCCCCTTTCCAAATGAAATGCATCCGCAGAGCACTTTGAGCCGCGCACCTTGCAAAGCTGCGGCGATTGCTCTGACTGTTATAAGTTTTTATAATAATATCGGATATCAATCAATAAGCTTTGGTTTGCCGCGGAATGTAACTAAAACTTTTTCAATTTCAAAGAATATTAGTTAATTACTTTCAACACTATACACACACACGCACAACCCAAAGTTTATGTGATACCACAAAGTTTTGCATCAATCAACACACACACACAACATCACAGAAGCCTGTATAAACAACTGGGCCGGAAGCTGTCTCGGCCCTGAAGTGTGGGTGTATGTGTGTGAGAGATTTAATGAGGGCTGTCTTTAAGTTAAATTCAAGTTTAAAGCAATGCAATGCCAAGGGATTTCCATTTGAAGTGGCCGTCAGATCGAACTGAAATAATAAAAACAAAACAAATTTAATTAGAATTAATTATTGCACAGAAATATGTAATAAGATACCGGTCAATTTTGTATTTAGTTAATGAGCTTCACTTGCTTACAAAGTTGATGAAATGGACACCAGAATTCATGGCCTCTTACTAACCATTATACGATTTCAACAATTGCGCTGATAGTCACTGAAAACAATGACAAAAGTTCCAATTAAATTTGCGGCTGCCCCAAAAATGCAGCCAAAACAAAGTTCGTTTTTATAACAGGCAGACAGCAGACGAGTCGAGAGTATTTCACTTTTTGGATACCCTGTAGTATGGGGATAAGGGAAGCCTTTGAATGGATGAAACTAGAACTAGGGTACAACATAGTTCAGCTAGCAGCGTTCCTTGGGTTACAATGTAAAAAATATGCTCTGAAATGTATGTACGGCACATGGCGGGGGGCAGGGGGCTCGCAACAAAACATAACTTCCAGCCAGCAATTAACAACACGCCTGGCAGACGTTCTTTGGTTTGAGTTTTCCACTCGTGACTCTTGCCACCTCCCTACCTCCCCCCTCCCCCCCTGGCAGCTGGCGTTGCTATTTTTGCTGAGACCCAAGGATTTGTGCAATGTGACAAACTGCCTTTGTAGGGCCACACCAAACGTGACATGGCCCACACGTCGAATGGGAAATACCCTAAAAAAAAAAATAAGAATTATATGTGCATATTTGTGAAATCCAAAAACTAAATAATCAAATTTGTATGCCCTAAAAGTCAGCTGGGAATAGGCGTCCTTAGTATCCTCTTCGAAATATCTAAGGGTATGCAATATTTAAAGTGACAGCTGTTGCCTTCTATACAGCCGCAGGCAAACGCAAACAAGCTTGACAAATGTCTCATATGCATACAACGCTCACCTGCCACACCTCCTTCTTCCCCATGACCCCAAACACACACACACACGCAACTAGCTGTCGCACACACACACACACAGACTTACACAAACAATTCTTTTGGTTTTACGACACTTTTTGTATGCCTGTGGCAAAGCAGGCAATAAAAACAGTTGCATGTCTTGTTTGTCTGGCAGAAGGATGCTCTTATTACCGGCTCTTTTAACTGAACACCTGAGAATATATACTCAGCCCGACGTTGGCAACAATTACAAACTTGAATAAGTTAGTGAATTTTATTAGCAATATACAAATTTCGGCTTATGGCCAACTGTTTGATCATGATTTATTGCTGGCTTATAGCATATTAGGCGTTACATTTGGGTCAGTCTGTTTAGCCTGATTATTTGGCACCGACTTGAGCCAAACTGAAGACGGGCAGGTTACCGTAAATTTGTTTGACCAGGCCATTGAATGGCGGCCAGGAGCAGAGGCGTATTTTGGTCAACAAAAAGCGAAAGTAAAAGCAAAGTTAAATGAAATCATTTTGTGGGTATTTTGTGAAGTGTTCTATTTTATTTTTATTTTTTGCAAATTCATCATGGCTTTTGTGTGTGTGTGTGTGTGTGTCTGCTCGCGGGTGCTCGCGGGGGTGTGTCTGCACGTTTCAAAAGCAATTTACTCGCATTGTTGTCGCTTGCTTGCTACGCAGCAATTATTTTCTCATATTACGTATACGCAGTGCGTGCCCTATTCGCTGTTTACAGATTTACGAGTATCCCAGCCCCATTATACGACAATTTTCTATTACAATTTTTTATATTCTCCATTGTTGTGCCATCTTCAGAGTGACTTTTTGTTTTTAAGCCCCAGAAGCCAAATTGTGGCCCACAATTTCCGTCAAAATCAAGTGCTTGCCCAGCTATATTAACATTATTCTAAGAAAAAAAAAAATACCTACGCATTCACTCACGCACTCTGTTGGTCTGTTGCTGCAACAAACTGCGTGTCAAATTAACTTGGGGCAAAGACTGAAGCCAGACTCCCAATGGATATGATGCCATAATTGTGACGCCCCAATGGCCAGCCTCCAAGGCCGCCCACAGGCAGACGGCTCCTGCTTCGTTTTCTCATGATTATGCATAATTTTGTATTTCTATTAGGACGCACAGTCGCGGCCAGCCGTGAAAATTTGCAAGCAATTTATGGTATTACAATTATTTAAGATTCGTAACTTTTCACAAGTTTTGTTTAAAAAAAAGTTTGTTTTTTCCAATTGAATTAAGTTCACGTGTCAAATCAATCTAACGGACAAAATATGATCAGAGAGCATTCCATGCATAAATCGGTAACGTTTTGACAAAGTTAGTAAATCGAGCAAATTTAAATAGAGTTTCTTAGAAATAAATATCTACGTAACTTTGCAAAGATACCAACAAATAACTTACGAATTTATTTCTCTGGAAAATGCGAATTAAAGAGAGAAATTATATTATTATTTAGTTGGACATTTAACTGTAATTTATTATTTATTGAAATGCTATATGTTTTCCATTGCCGATCTGCAGAATAAAGGAAAAATTGATTTTGCACGTTTGCTCGTATTTAACAAGAATCATAATCACTCATACGCAGCGTAGGCCTCGGCACAGACGTGAACACACACACACACACACACACACATACACGGGCGGGCAGACAGGCAAATTTCTGATATGAGTTATAACAACAATAATAATAATAATCATCGGTTTGTCATCATGAAGGTGAACGTATTAGCAGCAGCCATCCTTCGATAATTTCGTATTCATTTCACAGTTTGTTTGGGACATCGATTATTATTATGATTTGGATTATTTTTATTTACAGCTTGCCACAATGAAGGTGATTGATGTTTGCCTCATTAGGGTACCCATTTGTTAAGAAACAAATGTGTACGCCCGGCAGGATTTTTAAATCCTGATTGCTAATTCCTTTGCTTTTACCTTTATTATATATGTAAGTAGCAGCAAAGCTCATAAATCAAAAATACAGTTGTGACAGCATAAAAAGTAAAAGAATTTCACTTTTTTTTCCGTAACACGTGCGACTATGCGGAAAAGTTCGTAAGCTATTGAACAGGCTGTTATGAAAGTCGGTTGGATTAAAAAGCAAACTCGTCTAAATTCAAGTGAATTCAATTACAGTTATAAAAGCCATTTCATTGAATTCGATTGGATAAACTAAACCAGAATTAGGAAGCATTTCCGAAAGCCAATCACTAATTAGTCATTCGTGTGAATCGCAAAAGCGCCAATATAAATTTACAGTTTTAGGCTTTCAATTAAAGCTAAATTGGAAATGCATTATGCTGTTATACCTGGTAACTTGCAGCTGCAGCGGGTGTATTAGTTAAATAAACTAACATTCATATATAATTGCCCATAGTCAAATCCATGTACAGGGTATACTTTTGGCGAGTAGTTTCCGCAACTAAATTATTGAATGCTGTGACACACTTTTAATGTAATCGAATCAAATTTAGTGGGTCGGGCACTCCTCGAGCTGCATATGCTGCGACTCGCAAGCCCATAAAATGAATGGGCGTGGCAACACACAGTGCGTGTATTGTAAGCCAACCAACCGGGCGCATTTCGTGCAAAATTGAGTTTGCACAATAATTCAATTTGGCAAGCACATAAATTTTAGATATGGCGTTAAAAGGATTTCAATACAATTTCAGATAGACGACGACCCATCGCCCCCCACACGCACACACACACACACACACACACACACACACATTAGTGCTAGAAGCTCGTACGCAGTTTGAGCTCCATGGGAAATGGGCTGCGAGTTGGAGCACAGATTTTGGCAGGCATAAAGTTCAATTGGTGTCAGCCTACAAATTTCCAAGCGGTCCTTCGAATCGGTGGCCCAAATATGAGCTTTATGACAAAAGCCTCACGGACACACAGACACACGCACAAACAAAAGCCTAAAAGCCTGTTTCCCTGATGGGATTTGAGACTGGCCTCTAATAGACACTTAATTAGGTGAATACCACGCAGTTGGCTCTATGAACAGATCCCAAGGCTTTAAGCAAAACTCTGTGGCTAAACTTTAACTATAATTTTACGTGTGCTATTTGTATATGACATGCACTTGTACCTTAGTCGAATGGTCTGCAGTTGGAAAGTTCTACACTTTGCGATAAGTTTCAAGGCTTGTGTCGAACTAGTCCACAATGACAACTGGTCCTAGTCAGCACTTGTAATTCATGGTTTTGTTGTTGGTCTCTTTCGGTTCAATGAATAGGTCATATCAATATCTGAATTCGCAAAATCATTCAGACTGCAAATGACAACTGAAATGTGATACAAAAGAAGTTTTTCTCTGCCGTCTAAGGAAGGGGCGGGCCACTAACGCCCACACACACAATCCCATTCCGACACGTTGCATAAATACTTGTGGGCTTTTTCTATTGTGCATGACTCGGCCTAGCCTCTTAGTTTTCTACATAGACGCAAAAACAGTAGCCAAACAATTCCAATAAGCTACTATACCAAGTGGGGCTGGGTCTGGGGCTGGGTCTGAGTCTGGTGCTAGAGTGGCAAATACCGACGACGCACAAATTGAATGTGCCTGTCAATCAAAAGTGGTTGTTGGCCTTTCATGGCTTAGATAAAAACGTTCTTACCTTGCGGCTTAGGCTGAGTTCTTATGCTAGGACTCAATGTTATGCCCTGTTAAAGGCACGCCCCTGACGACTCAATTCTTAACGACTCACGATCCCAACCAACGGCTCCATTGGAGGTCAGTTTGTCGGTTAAGCTGCGCCATTTAGCAACATTGATGCGCAGTTTATGGCAGCCATACGACCCGCTTGATTTGCTCCTTTCACGAGCGCACAGCAAACGTAAGCAAAGACACTTGGGCGATGCACATGGTGCAATGTTATGGCTGCAGTTGAGTAAGCCGGAGGCCATTACCATAAGCCGAAATGCAGTTTTCCAAGAACAACTTCAGTCCGCAGATCCAGACACTATGAAAAGGGCACCCTTGAGAGCACGCTAAATGAAATGAATTTGCTGCAAGAGCAAGCTTCAAGACTTGGCCAAGAATAGTATTCCCCTCATACTTGCGGGCCAGCTGATGGGTTTGCATTGCCAACCCGAAATTGTTAAAGTCATTGCCCTCGCTTGGCTCTTGCCGCCAGCAGTCAGAAGTGCAATGGTCTGGCAGCAGAATCCTTTGCTCCTTACTCCATAGCCTGCCCTTCTGTCCTTGTGGCTGTGTTGCCTGCAGAGTTGCCGCAGGCAATGCGATGGCTCGGACTCTGCGGTTCGATGTCCTGCTATGCAATATTTTTGTGCGTAATTTATGTATAAATAAATTTATTGTTTAATTGTGGATAACATGGTCTGAATTGCCCTTACATATATTCATATTTATATATAAATTGTGCCCATAAATATATTTGCAACAGCACAATTTGTTTATTGGCTTCTTTGAGTAGGAGAGACATAGACTTTAATATATACGCAAACTAATGTATACGCATATCATAAGCATGACTAAACTCTTGCTTTTTTGAGTTCATGAGAATCGCATAGAATATATATATATGTTAGGCTATTTTTGGTATAACAGGATTTCAAGGATTATTTCGATGTCTTTAATTCCGTACAAAGTTTCTACCCAAGCATTTGGCCTTAAGCGCAGATACTTTTGTCGATATGCAGAATTGCAAATTGAATGTAAAATGTAAAAATACGAAAAAGAGAACATGAATCTTTCCCAGCTAATTACATTTTAAAGTAAATCCGTGGGATTAAACATTAAAAGGCGTTGCCTCCTTGCGTCGTTTCCAGCTTACCTGCCGAGCTCCCATTTGTGGACTGGCAATTAATTAAACGCTCCAGCACAGTGGAAGCACAAGTAGACAATGGCAAAAGAAAACCAAGTAAAATGGTGGGAAAGCGGAAAATAAATGCATCATTGCGTCTGTATTTTTTGGTTCTCAGCTGAAAAAAAAATGGCATTTTATTTAAGGAGAAGCGATTGCAATAACGATCCCTCTGTGCATTACAATTATAAAAAAAAAAGAATGGACGCAGCGCAATCAATTGTTGCCCTTTTGCACATTGCACAAGTTTTAATTAAAATGCTTTAAAATAGTCTCTATTTTAAATACAGGGCAGGCAAGCACAGCAATTGCAGCGTCTCTTGGCAAGCTGTGTTTGCTTGCAATCAGGTTAATCCTGTTGACTAGATTCGGCCCGAACTCGTAGCAATTACGGCGGCAAGTGATGCATAGCTGAAGCTCGTAATTTATGCTGTCGTTGTTAGGTTAGGTGGGGAATAACAACTGGCACCTGAAAGGCATCAAGTAGCTGCTCATAAATCAGTGGAAAATCTGCGTATGCTTCACATGACTTCATTAAAAAGCGGCAACACCCTATGACACCCCATTCACAATCCACATGAACGCTTCAGCGGGTCACCGTGTCACAGTGCGTATGCGTGTTGCCTGCTTTTGCACAACAATGGCTGACACTCAAAATCGACAGCTGCGTTCGACTTGCGAGTACACCCACATGATGTCTGCTGACGCATTTAATGCCCTATAACCGACTCGCGGCCAAATATCGAATGACTCTTGCGTAAAATTTTATTTTTCTTGGAATTACTTACAATAAAAAAAGCTCATATGAATCGAAGTTGGAATTGACACGTTTGTTATGAGCTCTTTTTCTTTTTCTGTATCTTTTTTACAATATATATATTGTTCCCCTCATCTCTATCTCAATATTCAGAAATTAATCAGGTTGCCTGAAAACTTTGAACGCTGCTAATGCTAATGAATGCCAAAGTAAACAAACGACAAAGTAATTAATTGTAGACAGTTCTTGTTTAACTTGTCAGCACAAAATAAACATTAAAATTTCCTCAAAGTGCTGCCACAATCCACACATATTCAAATGCTCGTCAAAGCATTCAAAGAAAAATGGACAACATTTCGATGTTGATTTATTTTTTTTGGCTTTAAATTAAAAATGGGTATAAGGGTATATTGTATTTCTTCAAAATCCAAATGTATGTAACAGGCAGAATGAAGCATCTCCGACCCCATAAAGTATATATATTCTTGATCAGCATCAATAGCCGAGTTGATCTAGCCATGTCCGTCTGTCCATCCGTCCGTCCGTCCGTCCGTATGTATGAACGCAAGGATCTCAGAACATATAAGAGCTATAGACTTGAAATTTTAGATGTAGGTGCTCCTTGTGCCTGCGCAGATCGAGTTTGTTTCCGATAATCGATAACTTACTCCGTTTCCAAGCAATCGATAAAAATCGATATCGATGTTCTGTTTTTTGGGCAATTTTGGTAAATAATAAGAGCTAGAGTCACGAAACATGATATGTTGCTTCTAAAATATAATATATATATACGTATTTGATGTTGGAAGAAGAGAGTTCAGGGTATCCCCTAGTCGGGAGCGCCCGACAAGAACCTCTTACTTGTTTATTACTTTGTTCTCTTGCGAAATCTCTTTCATGTATATTTCACCTTTTCGTTTTTTAGAATCTCTTCACGCCTTCGTTTTTGTTTTCGGCCGCATTTGTGTCATTGTCCGGCACACAAAACTCGAATGTAGGAGTGCGGCTTTGTACGTGTATTTGTATTTCCGTGCTCTTGTTTGTTACTGGACGGAGGCCGCCGCAGTTTCATGCCGTACTCAAGATTCTATGCTGCGTATTTAGTGCGACGCACATATGGGTAAGTATAGCATACATAACATATGGCTGGGAGCACGTTTAATACCATCATATTGTGAGGATAATGCGCTTGGTCAACGACCTGCACCATGCCGGCTTCAATTGGCAAACGGCGGGCCCATAGTAATGGAATGCTATCAATGATATCATCGCAGAATGCGCAGCATGTGAATGCTATATAACAATAAATGTGCGCGGTATGCAATGGTTAAGGAGCAGTTGGACATATGACGCCCACAAATGAAACCTGATTAAATACGCTTATGCTATCGTAAAAAATATCGTAAATTGAGCTACCGAGCAAAGGAATTCAATTTCAGCAAAAATATAGCATACTTATTGGAGCATTCATAACTATTGTTGCACTTCTGCTGAATTGCTACCCGAGTTGTTAACATTCTCGCATGACACTAAATTCTAGGTAGTGGCATATAAAAGCAATAAGTACGTATTCAGAAAAGTGAGGATACATCAAATTTATGTTGCTAGCTACTCACAAACAGACGATTAGGTTACTACGTCTAATTTTCTGTAAGTAAACCACAAAAAAAAAAAAAAAGAAAAGGAAACACCGACGGAAATACTCGATGAAATAAGAACCAAAAAAAATCCAAAATATAACAACAAAGCAAATGGGTGGGGGAGGCAAACAGCGTTTAGCGAAGACAACAACCGAGACTCACATGTTTTAGCGGGCGCATAAAAGTATGCTACACTGCGGATATAGAAGCATGTCAAGCTGTCATTGAATTTTAGTTGATTTGTTTTATTTTTATTATTTTTAGGGGCTGCTCTGGCAACGGTTTCACTGCACAAGTGCAGATTTTTGAAATTTACATTTCGTTTATAAAATAATATAATTTCTTTTAGCTAAGCAGGAACATTTGGCGGCCCATGCCTTGGCAATAAACACAAACTAGCACAAGAACACACACTCAGAGAAATACACACGCGCTCGTATAACTGCCTGTATATGGGATTTGCGTTTCAGTAGCACGTTGCGTTGCCAGAACTTGCTGAGCTGCCCAGGCGAGACGACCAAAAGCTACGACAGTTCAACTACGACTAACTGAACTGAATATCAAATGATACTGCCGAGCCAGGCGATTCCTAAGTGTGAGTATATGTACATGTGTGTACATGTGCGTGCGTGTGTGTGCAGGCAACGAGCGATGGCAAAGCGTCCGACACACAGCAGGCAGCGGAAAAACAGCGCGAATTTGAGTGGAAAGCCCAGCAGGATAGAAAAGTACAAGCAAAGCAGCTGACACACATTTTGGGCTTTGTTTTGGTTGTGCTCAGGCGTCGCAGGGGATAACGCAGCATACGCCGTGAGGTGGAGGACGCTGCGGCGGCTGCTTGCCGGCGTTTTTCGCTCTCTCTTACAAAAAACAGATAGAGAGGGAAATAGAGAGAGAGAGAGAGAGAAAGAGAGAGAGAGACAGCGCCTGCGCTTAGAGACCGAGTGTGTTTCGACTTCAGACAGCGGTCTGCATAAATAAAAAATATTTTAATAAAAAGTCTCGATTGAACAATCTGGGCTCTTCAAGATGACCCGTCAACAATAAAACGAGAGTTAGGCAAAGGTTTTGGCGCATTGGTCATCGGAGCTATTCATATATTCATTCACTCGCGCATTCATTTTATCGATTTCATTTTGACCAATATTCGGATGAACGTTTTGTTTACGAATTTGTGTGGCACAAGACATGAATGAATGAATAAATGAAGTATACACACACATGCCAACATATTTCTAGAGTAAAATAGTACAGCTACAACTAAACAACTGTGTGTGGGTGTGCGTGTGTGTGGGTGTGCATGTGTGCATGTGTGCATGCTATCTTCTTTTCACTCAGGTTGAATGACACTAGCAAGTGGATGTACACCCGCCCGCCCGTAGCTTGCACGTTGCTGGTTTGCCGCTTTATGTCCTCAATTCCAAGCGGGACGCCATCAGCGTGTGTGTGTGTGTGTGTTCGTCCTAGGCCTCTGTCAAGTGTGTGTACACTGATAGCATCAGTTCGTATTTGCACGGGAAGTTAGAAGGGCGTGACACAGTTCCGTGGACGGGCAAGCGAATTTATGCAATTTTGTCCAAAGGAAACCAACCGTGTTCGTGCGTATACTTAATATTATTAATGGTAAGTGATCTTAGCACGGCTTAAATAATTGTGATAATATTTCTCAGACAAAAGCAAAACATTTTATTTAATTCTGTTATCAATTTTGATTTTTTGAAACTAAAAGAAATTCAGCTCAACTTAAAGTTGCGCTACCTTTTAATTTTAAGCCTATTATTTTCTTACTCTCACATTGAAAATGACCTTTTTTACCTATTTACAGACTTTTCACAACTGATATGACAACAACCAGCTCGGAGTCCCATTGCTGCAGTTGGGCTCTCTAAGGCAAGAAAAAAATTACCATTTAAAGTTTTTGAAATTGAAATATCTCGGTTAAATTTCGGAGTGATATAGCACTTTCAACTGGTACGGCTCCCGACTATCGATAGCCCTACAAAACCCGCATTCTAAGCGATGAGACAAATTGACCAAAAATGTAGTAGTTACATCACTTTATTGTCTGATTTTGAAATGGTCTCCATTATCGACTGGCAAATCACGTTTTTTGCGAAAAATGGCTTGTTTCTGGAATCATTAAAACGATGCCATTCTATTCTGTGGAACACGTCCAATCTGTAACGGATCGGGTTATATTTGGCTTTTTTTTATCATGCCACGCCCGGGCGAATATACAAGCAAATCCGATGGTTCCCAGATGACCCATTTATCCTTGGTTTTACGATACGAAAGATAACGTCCTGATGAACCTAAATGACCGAAATGGTCAAAAAATATGAATGCTTTTTCTTTCAGCCATCCCCCTGCAACAATACCACCCCCTCGACGGTACCTAGTTGACCTCCATATCCTTGGTCATACCATACCATTGATATAGTCCTGGTGAACCTAGAGGACCGAATTCCGGCAAAATGCGCACGGAAACGGTCCAGAAATATGAATTCTTTTATGCTTTTAGTGCCCCTTTTTAATAGTTGCAGGTTAACAGAATGCTGTAGCTTCTGTTAAAAGCGACAGCAAAAGTATGCCACAAAAATTTGAAATCGCTGATTTAACAGACAGCTGTTAAGAATATTTTTGCAGCCTGCAAGTATGCTATGCAATTAATTCATGCCCCGTTTGGGTATGCAATGAAATTTTTCATTCATAAAAATTTTAGTTCGTCTACCTGCTGGGCATTTCTGTTCGCCTGGTACTTTTGCTAAATTTGCGTTCAAATCTAACGCCCCCCTTGGCTATTAACAGAGGTATGTTTAGTAACAGCTGCTTAGCAGTAAACTGTTAACTAACAGCTGCAGCTGCTAATTAACAGTGGCCTGTTAAAAAATTTGCAAGTCATCTTTAAGAAAAATTTTTCTGTGCATCTACCTGCTGGGCATTTCTGTTCGCCTGGTACTTCAGCCGAATTTTGATTTGAAAATGTGAGCCAACGGCCGGACCTAGTGAAATGGAATTTTGCGACCGTTTATATTTAAACCTAATTTAATTGGGGATAAAGCTTTAAGCGAATTTTGCTGGGATTTAGAAATATAGGTTTTCTAGGACTATATCTATGGTATGGTAAAACCAAGGATATATCGGTCTTCTAGAAACCATAGAGGGAGAAGGGTACGGCTGAAAAAAAAGCATGCATGTTCATATTTCTGGACCAGTTTCGGGCAAATTTTGCACGAATTTCGAGATGTAGGCTCACCAGGATTATATCTATGGTATGGTAAAACCAAGGATATATCGGTCATCTAGAAACCATAGAGGGAGAAGGGTACGGCTGAAAAGAACGCATGCATGTTCACATTTCTGGACCATTTCCGGGCAAATTTTGCACGAATTTCAAAATGTAGGTTCACCAGGACTATATCTATGGTATATTAAGACCAAGGATATAATGGGTCATCTAGGAACCGGTTTTGACTATCTGTTCGGGCAGGGACGTGCCCGATTTGGTATGTGTGTAGTAAATAAAGTCCTTTCCAGAAAAGGTTGGGAGTTTAAAATCCTTAAATCAATTTTATCAGTTTATAACTAATATTTTTGAATTTAAATAGAAAAATTATAATTCTTTAGCTTGATAACAATACATTTATATTCTATGAATATCCGCGAGTCCAACGCACATTATCTCTCCAAAATCTGGCTCTATTTGAACAAGATATGGATAAAGTTTTTGACAAAATTTCGTAATTAAAATATCTCGGCAAAATACAGTCAGATTTCGGAGGGATATACCACTTCCTATTCGTGGAGATACGACTATCGATTGTCAACCAAAAATCGGCATTCTAAGAGATGTCCCACTTTGACCATAAGTGAATGCATCACGTCTTTTGTGAAAAAAGGGGTTTTTCCTGAAATCAAAAAACATTAATTAGATATCTCGGGAAAGTACAAGTATTCAATGGAGTTTATATTACCTTCGGCTCATATATTTAATTTGCGGGCCAAAAATCTGCAGTTAAGAAGTACATTTTTTTTAATTGTGTAGCAGTAAGGTATCCTGTAAGGAATATGTAGAGGATTATTTGAATTAAGCCAAGCCGGCCACAAAGTATACTGGACTTTTCGTGGAGCACAAGTGTGCCTGCCTTGATAAGCTTGGCATTCTTTTATGAATTAAATGAATTTTATTTATGAATTGCACATAAAATTTACGTGCCTCTAATTTCTTGCTCATCGACGACTCATTGAATATCAAACAAATCGTTTTATTTATTTAGGTGTCTGTACATTTGAGAAGTAAACAGAGACAATATGGACAGTCAGTCGCAAAGTGAATTGCGTAGATATTAGAGTGGAGGCAATATTAAAAGAAATGCCGCCCGTGAGCAACTAATGGTTGAGTTGACGCTTTAATATGGAGATGAGGTCAGTCCAAATCGCACTTTGGAACCAGAAACAGCATCAGCAACAGCAGCAGCCGATACGCAATATCAACGTACGAGTTGACGACATACAATGTGCAGTGAAGCACAGGATAAAGTTGCCAAGGTACAAATTATAAACAATCAAAACTTTTCCTGCTAATCCCAATGTTCGTGCAGGACGTGCCAGAGCATAGGTCATGAAATTGAAGTTGCAAACTTTGTTCCACTTTGACATGCTGCATGGAAAGAAATATGTGTTATGCACTTGTGTTAGTAGTTAATGCCTGAAAAGGGTTGACTTTTAATCTACTAAAGTCCGATAACAAAACTGTGCTGTAGGCAAACATGTTATACACTCTTTCACAAGTTTTAGTTCGCTGGAGAATGTTTACGTAAAATATGTGCAAATTAAATGAGGTTTTTTTGAAATATGATCAGGTCGATTGGACCCTAAAACCCGATGGAAATTCTTAAGTGACCGCTGTTATGAAGCGAGAATATTTATGTATTACATAGAAATAACAATCATTGCTCGTAATTAAGCAAACTTATTTGATTCGCTAGCGTATGCCATTGCGGGATCATTTGTTTGAGCACGTTCTAACACATATGCCGCACCTTGTAGCGCAACACAGCTGAATTTGAGGAAGCCAAAGACCATGCAGATAAGATACCAACATATCGGTATCGACTGCCAAAGCAGCCGAAGTCGAAGCCATTCGCTGGCCGGATCAGTCGCTGTCCAAGTGCTTCGAGTTTCAGATCGTCAGTCAGTCGATCGGCAGAGAGCCTCCGCACAAGTCGAGTAGTTTGTGCTGGTTTGCACAACGCGCTGTTCAGAGAGCGATCAGAGAGCGACAGAGAGAAGCAGAGAGAGAAAGAGAGAGAGAGAGCGCATAGGTCGTTTCAAGTGTTTATGTATACATAGAGAAATATTCATTGAGACCGGTTGAAAGTGCACAACAGATCCAATGAGCAGTGATAAAAAAGTGCGGCGTCGTGTTATAACGCCGACAACAGACGCCAGCAATGCGGATCCGTTGCTGAGGCAACCGCAGTTGCACCTGTACGAAGATGAGGTGAGCTGGTACTCAAGGGCAATCAATTAGCGTTCAAGAAGTTTCTTTAAATGGAACAAGTGCCGGATAAGTGTGTATGTGTGTGCATGTGCGTGCGTGTGTGTTTGCATAAGTATTTTGTAGATACTCATTGATTAGATTACCTAATTCGGGTCGTGCTTTGTTGAATAATCAACAACACAAAAGAGTACTGTGTATCGCATATTAGCCATTGCCAATTTAACAGGTGTATATGTTAAATGTGGCAGCTGCAACTGCCGTACGCGTTCTCATTTTCTAGACCAGACCAGACCAGACAGTCACCCACTCTTCATGGCCTTATCGAGGCAACAATTTCGGCGGCAACAGCTGCACAGAGCGCAACATGTTGGACCGTTGATAAGATAAAGTCGTGATGGATTAAATCGAACTATTAGCACATTTTAGTCGAGCCACAAAGTATCGTCTGTGCTTTAATTAAACACTGATTCACCTAGGCATATCTTGAACAAACATCAAGAACCAACCAAAAAGACCGCAACCACTTGAAATACTAACCCATTCTTGCCGCTCTTTCCACACCCGACAGCAGGCCAACTGCTGCGAACGAGTTTTCGTTAGTCGCGAGAAGATCAAATGGTATTGGGCGCCCGCGTTTATTGGCTTCTGGTTGCTCATCTATAGCGCCATATCCATACCCGCCTCCAATCACCTGCCACGGCCGCTTAGTATCAAAGATGAGGCCAAGTATCCGGAACGCTTTATCGCCGAGCGCGCGGAGCTGAATCTGCAGCGTCTGGTGGCACTGGGGCCACGTGTGGTGGGCAGCCGCGAAAATGAAATGGGTTCCATTCAGGTGATCACCTCCACCATGCAGAAGGTGCGAGCTGAGCTGGGCGCAGTCCATGAGATTGAAATGGATGTGCAGGTGGCCTCCGGCAGTTACATACACTGGAGCGCAGTCAACATGTACCAGAGCATACAGAACTTTGTGGTAAAGATCAGTCCCAAGGGCTCGAACAGCAGCACCTACTTGCTGGTCAATAGCCACTTTGACACGGTGCCGGCGGGTCCTGGCGCTGGCGATGACGGCTCCATGGTGGCCGTCATGATGGAAACTCTGCGTGTGCTGGCCAAATCAAAGTACGCGCTGAAGCATCCGGTTGTCTTTCTGTTCAATGGCGCCGAGGAGAATCCACTGCAGGCCTCACACGCCTTCATCACGCAGCACAAGTGGGCCAAGAACTGCAAGTGGGTGACAGACATCAGATCCTGTCCATCATAATTCTCAACTAATTGTTTTATTTTATTGGCAGAGCTTTGATCAACTTGGACTCCGCTGGCAATGGCGGTCGCGAGATTCTCTTCCAGTCCGGTCCCAATCATCCGTGGCTTATGAAAAGTTATCGGCGCGCCATCAAGCATCCCTATGCCTCGACCATAGCTGAGGAGATGTTCCAGCACAACTTCATACCATCCGACACGGACTTCCGCATATTCCGTGATCATGGCGCTGTGCCCGGCCTGGACATGGCTTATCAGTATAATGGTTATGTCTATCACACGCGCTACGATCGCGCGGAGATTTTTCCACGCGGCAGCTTCCAAAACACCGGTGACAATCTCTTGGCTCTCATCCGTGAGATTTCAAGTGCGCCGGAGCTAGAGGACACCTCGGTAAGAAGCAAATGAAGTTCAAATGATGAGCAGGAGTATAAACTTTAATCTCCTTGTAGAAACACGCCGAGGGACACACCGTTTACTACGATGTCATGGGCTGGTTCTTGGTCTTTTATACCGAAACGGAGGGCATTATTCTCAATGTGGTTGTCTCTATAGGCGCCATTGTTGTCTGTGGACTCGCCATCAAGCTGATGGCCACCAACTCGGGCATCAAGCTGCAGAAGATGCTCAAGCGTACGCTGCACACATTTATTTTGCTCATCCTAGGCGTGGTAGCAGGCGCTACCCTGCCCATTATCATAGCCGTATTCATGGATATAACGCACATGCCGCTCTCCTGGTTCACACACAACTGGCTGATGCTGGGCCTCTACTTTTGTCCGTTCTTCTTTGGCGTGGCCATTGTGCCGGCACTCTATTTCCACTATACCGCAACTGTGAGTATTGATTGAACCCACTCGAACTGTAGCTAGTGGCTTATACGCTGCTTTCTAGGATCGCTTTCCGATTGGACAACGTGTGCAGCTGCTGATGCATTGCCACTGCCTATTCCTGGCGCTGCTCACCCTCGTGTTGACCATCTGCAGCATTCGTTCCGCATTTGTGCTCATGCTGACCTGCATGTTCTACACGGTGGGCCTGGTCTTTAATCTGGCCACCAGTCTGCACACACGCAGTAAGTTAACCCAGCCGAATGGTCTGTGGAATCAACTAATCCTCGTACCAATCTTCACTATGTGCAGATGTTGTCTGGATCATACCGCACATTGTGTGCTATGTGCCTCCGTTTCTGTTCTTTGCCTATTTCTCGCACAGCTTCCTGGTCACCTTCATTCCCATGTTCGGTCGCTTCGGTGACAAAGTTAATCCGGATCTGATTTTGGCTGTCTTCAGCGTTGCAGTGGGCATGCTTATTGGCGGCTTTATCGTACCCATGCTTCACATGTTCCGCAAATCGAAGACCATCATCTGCGCCCTGCTGGGCGTCACCTTGGTGTGCATCATCATTGCTGTTACTCCACTGGGCTTCCCCTACAGGCCAGAGACGAGTGTGCAACGTTTCGCCGTATTGGTAAGTCGCTTGGCATGATTTCCCAGAAGTCAGTCTATAAACTCTGTCCTACAGCACGCTAAGCGCACCTTCCACGATGCCAACAACAATGTTCGCCGCTCCGAAACTGGTTATTTCATCATGCCACAGGACAGACGCACCTATTCTGTAAAAAGTAGGTGTTTGATTAAAAGATGACTTTTCACATTATCTTAACAGCTTTTCCTCCTGTTTTGCAGATAAGGTAATTAACATGACTCTGGCCAGATCTGTAAAAGAGGAATGTCTCAAGGAAACATTGTGTGGTTTTCCATTATACAACATGCGCTGGCACAATACCAGGTAAGGCTAATAACTACAACACTCACCAGAGGACCCAATTAACTTGTTTCCATTCTGAAATTCAGGGAGCGTGGCTTATGGATACCCGCATCGGAGCCTGTGCTGGGCACGCTGCCTGCGGTTAAAGTCGTATCCAAGAAGCAATTGACGCCCAATAAAATCCGCTTTGAAATGGAACTAAGTGGCCCCGATCACATGGGTATCTTTGTGCAGCCATTGAATGGGGCCCGAGTTGTTGGCTGGTCCTTCCATCAGGCGCCTTTACGCCTGAACTATCAGCCGCCATATTATATCTACTTCTCTTACGGCGTCAACGGTGACCCGCTGAAGTTCTGGCTGGAGCTTGAGGTGAGTTCGTGCTCGGTAATATTATTCAAGCTTTTGATTAACGAACGCAATTACACTTTGTAGAAACCCAGCGGAGATTGGAATACTCCTACGCTGGAGCTGGGCCTACATGGTCATTGGATACACCACAAGGAGTTGCATACTGAAGATTTTAAGAAGTTCCTTAGCAGTTTTCCCAGCTATGTGGACGCAACGCCCTGGCCGGCGTCCTATGACACATGGTTGTACTGAAAATATATGAAATTTATTAGAAATGACAAGTCTAGATAAAGTCTAAATATATACTTAATAGTATTTAATATATTATGTGTATTCTATGTACCGCAAGTTGAGGAGAAAATAAATATCAATGCAGGTTTCAGTAAACTAAGTCCATAAACGCAAGAGATATGAAGTTGCTTTCGGTTACATTAGACGGCAGCAATAAAATTAATTAAATTTCAGTGCTTATTAATCTAATGGCTGAACCTCTATTAGATAAGGATTTTCGCTACCTTGGCAACTAGTCATTTGTAATTTACAGTATTTTTACTTTAAAAGCCGATTAGGGATCCATACTTAGTTAAATACAATCATGGCCAAAAACATTTATTTGAAAAAACTTGACGTGCTCTTCAAACTCATAATAGTTATTCGCATCTCATCTTATATTCGGATGTTATTTTAATATAAATCAAGAATATGAAGGTCGAAAGGTCTACAGCTGAAATAGACGCAAAAGCTCCATTCTATCGTATGCTAGCTAACCTTACGTTGTTTAGATATGGCCGGTATTGTAAATGTTTGTGCTGCCGGGTTAAGCACTGATAAGGAGGCTAATGATAATTATACTCTGTATATAAAGTGAACAAGAGAATATATATTGGCGCTTAGCATGATCAACAAAATATGCTGGCAAAGTGTTTTTATTAGATTTGTTGTTAGTTGTTCTAAATCTGTGATCGATCAGAGAGAAATGAGAATCATATGGTTCATATTTTGGCGAAAGCCAGTTTCATTCTTTTATGTTGGATTCGATTAATAACAACGAAGGTTTTATGCATTATCATTTGGCTTCATTTTTTCTTTTCTTTTCTTTTGATTTTTCGCAGCGGTTATTATATCTCCAATATTATTATGAAGACGATAAAACACGTCCTCAATCATATCCAGACGAGAGAGTAGGCTGCAAAGCACACAAATTAGATTTTTCAAAAGTAATCAAATGAAATGCATAATTGCTAATAATTACAAGCCCAGATCTGACTCGATTTCCGTATTTTCCTTAATGAGAAGCCTGCAAAGGAATATCAAGGGAGTTTTTTGTTTTTAATGTAATGTAATCACTTAACTTACAATTCTTCAAGCTTGCTTTCATCGAGCGGCTGGTTTAACTCATGTGCAGCAGCCCATTCTGGATAACGAGGTGCCTTGAAAAGCCCAAAAGACACCCTGAATAATTGCTTTCTTATATAATACCACAAGAATGACGGTTGGAAGCCAACCGCCGTTGTGGCTGTTCGATATGATAATACGATAGCGGAAAAAAACATATTCTAAAACAACGTCAAGTTTTATAGAGCCCAACTAAGTAAAGCAGCTTACCATTATTACGAAGAATATCAACAATATGTAGGTCAAAAAGAATATGGGACCCAATATTTTGGACTCATGCTCCAATTGAAAGTAGTCAAAATCAGTAACCAACAAGCGCAACATTGTTAAGAAGGCAGTTGGAAAATTTCGAAAATCTTCGTTCTCGGAACCAAAAAGGAGTAGGCCAAGATTTCCATAGGCAATAAACGCAATGAGGAACATGACGGCAAAGGCCACCAAGTCAGCCGAAGCCTAGCATTAAACGCTTGAGCCAATTAAATAGATTAAATAACATTATAAAAAGACTATTACGATCTGCATAGCAACGCCAAGGTTTCGTAGAACGGGATTAAAGTCCATAAACCTAAGCAGATTCATCCAGGTAAGAAACACCAAGATTCCGAAAGCATTCTCATGAAACGAATACGTCAGTATCAAGTAATCCAATGAAATAAAATGGTAAGTTACAGCGTTAATCTTCTCATCGATTATGCGCTTATAAATACCGAAATAGATTGTATAAATGAGCGACAGATAAATTATCTAATGTGAGACATATTGTTAGGATATAGAGCCAACAATATTTTCGGTCTAAGCTTACACCTATACTAGGTATATTCAATACTGCCTGTATTGTAAAGAAAGTCTTATAGCCTTTCAGATAGAGTTTCTTGATCTCGACGTAGGTATAATAAAAATTGATAACATATACGACAACGGCGCATCCCAAAATGAATCCACCAGACGAGGTGATCACAGGATTCGAATAAATGGATTTCGAGTCATATTTTGCATTTATAAGGCCGGTGGGTAATATCTCGAAAATTAATCTGCAATTTGTAGGAAATTATGTTGAACAATATTATCAATTAGGCTACGAAATCAAATACTTAGTGCCTATTAGCAGACCCATATTTAAGTTGATCATATTAATTTCAAACGCAACAACCCGTGAACCACGATTCAACCATTCAATTTCTTTAAGGTGTCGTATGAGGCCCATATTTACATCCTTATTGTATGACAATGGTCGCACATACCCTCCACTGTGATAGGTATGCACTCTTCCCTGGATAGGCAAGGCATTTAGCTCATCCATTGTTTTAAACTTAGTCCTGCAGCATACAATTGGCTACAGCGAGATAATCATAATTACTTGTGTGCAAATTTACATTTACCCCATATAGAACGGCTCCGTTAACTCCTTGTCAGCCGAATATGCCGCCATACATGTGTTATAGTATCGAGCGAATGCCTGATGCACATGGCAAGTGTTACTTTTAACACGAATCTGTCGTAGTCTCGGTGCTCCAAGTAGTAAACTTTCATTTAGAAATAAACGACCATACAAGGTGGGTCTATTGCTAATTAAACTTGGCTGCCATTTAACGCTTTCATCATAGACGACGCCATGCAGCAAGGGCAGGATCATAAATTCCATATAATCCCAGAAATCTGGTATTGTAATCACCGTATCGAAAGATATAGTTGTATTTTTTGACGTATACGCAGTTCTCTTAAGTAGTTCCTGCAGGCTCATAGTAAAATAATGCTGGTGATGTGTGGGCAGTGCGTTGCCAACCAAGGTTACGGCTGTCAAGTAAATATAGAAGATGATCAGCTGCAACAAGGCCTTTTTGGTACCCTTCTCCGTTGTATAGGTCAATGTACCGTAGGTAGGTTGAGAGCGCTGCACATATTCCATATTTAATTTTCTTCAGGTTTGATTTTTCAATTATGATTCACTACGACATTTAGTTCTATGCTGTATGTAATTTACAATAGCATCGCATTGTTCTTTTAAATTCGGTGCTGTATTTTATTTAAAAAGCGAAATTAAGTTGGTTGGGAACCGAAATATTGTGCTGCTAAAACTGTTCTTTTCGATTTATAGTTATTGTTTTCGGGTTTTTTTTTTCAATATTTTTTTTTTTTTTTTAAGGTAAGCATCATTGTTATAAATGTTTATTTACCTTGCGGTAATAAGATATATGCCGACATAAAGCTTAATCTAACCGCTGGTCATCAAACCATAAACCCGCCAAGTTGCCGCATGCTATCGCCAAATCGTAATCTGCAAGACTTTATCGGCGATAAGCCCCAACTTAGTGGCATATAGCCTAAATTTTTTCTTTACATTTGGTTAACTGTGTCAGTTTTCCAACTCAAGTATTGTGGCGCGGTCAAATTTCTTGTGCTAAATCCAAAAGACTAACTAAAGGTCATCGAAAAAGGTAATGTTCCAACTCAATTAAACATATGGTAAAAGTGAAAAAAGTAATTTTGAAATAAAAATTGAACTAGATTTAACCAAATAAAAAAACTCAAAAACGTGCAGAATTGTCAAATCTCACAATATCAGTGCTCCAGAAAGACTTCAAATGAATTTCTTAAATGCAATAACAGAACTTTTTAGAAATCATAAATGTAGTTCATTAGAAAAGAATTGCTTACATTGCAAGACTTATGACCATGGTAATCGAAATGATAATGTTTGTAATTCGAAGTATTGACAGATAAGTTAGGGGGTTTTTTGTTCAGGGTCGGATACTGTTAACGTGCTGCTTACCCTTTGACAGATGTCCTTCTCCAGCATTGACATCACAACTGAGAAGTCCTCGAAAAAGGGCGGCGACAAGTGGCCTTGGTATGGGGCGCCCATATTTTGTGTAATCTGGTTTACACTCTTCTATGTGACCGTCATACCAAGCTTTTTCTCCTATCCAAAAATGATCTATGTTCGAGATGAGGCCAATCACCCGGACGAGTTTATAGGCGAGCGTGCCATGATTCAGTTGGCCGAGTATTCGTCGATTGGTAACAAAATGACTGGATCGATAAATAATGAGGTGCATGTCGTTAATTTTGTGCTGCGCGAAGTGCAAAAAATTGTGGACCAGTCGCGCAGCGATCTATATGACATCGTTTCGGAGGTGCAATACTCCTCGGGCACCTTCTACCTGTGGGATACGGCCGCCAGCTACGACAATGTGTCCAATGTTGTGGTCCGGATCTCAAGAAAGGATAGTCCCAATGACAACTATTTGTTGGTTAACTCACATTACGATTCAGAGGTGAAAACGCCGGCGGCAGGTGACGATGGCGTCATGGTGGTCATAATGCTGGAAACACTGCGCGTAATCGCACGCTCCGAACGGCCACTGGATCATGCCGTGGTCTTTCTTTTCAATGGCGCCGAGGAGGCGAGCATGATGGGCGCTCATGGTTTCATCACAAAGCACAGATGGGCAGCCAATTGCAAGTGCGTAGACACCGGCTTTTCTTGAATTGAATCTTTCTTGAGTCTGTCATTTGTTTTAGAGCACTTATCAATCTGGACTCGACGGGCTCAGGCGGTCGCGAGGTGTTGTTTCAAACGGGACCCAATCATCCGTGGCTGATGAATTACTATCAGAAGTATGCTCCACATCCCTTCTCCATAACGCTCGCCGAGGAGCTGTTCCAGAATAATTTTATACCATCCGATACGGACTTCCGCATATTCCGCGACTATGGCAATGTCCCCGGCCTGGATATGGCGCACGCCCTCAATGGATACGTTTACCACACCACATACGACAACTTTAAGAACCTGGCGCGCGGTACCTATCAGACCACGGGCGATAATGTTTTGGCCTTGACCTGGGCACTGGCAAATGCCCCTGAGCTCGATGATACCTCTGCCCACAAGGAGGGACACGCTGTCTTCTTCGACTATCTCGGCTGGTTCATTATCGTCTATACGGAATCGGCCAGCATTGCTATCAATATTGTTGTTTCTGTGGCTGCTCTAATTTGCATTGGCCTCTCCGTTTACTTTATGACCAAGAGCAACGACGCGGATGCACCGAATGCTGTGGCCGTGCGTTTTGGCATTATCTTTCTAGTGCAGCTGGGTGCAGTGATTATAGCCTGGGGATTGACCCTACTCGTGGCTGTCTTCATGCATGGCGTTGGCCTTGGCGAGTCCTGGTACTACGGCATTTGGATGACATTTGGCTTGTATTTCTGCCCCATGTTCTTTGGACTGGGCTTGCTGCCTGCCTTTTACATAGGCTGGACCAAGCACAAAACGAACATGAAGCTAAACCAGACCATTGCCTGCTTTATGCATGCTCATTGCATTTTAATTGTGTTCCTTTGCCTGCTCCTGACAGGTCTGGGCATACGATCAGCTTTCTTTCCCATGATAGGTTTGTTCTTCTACACCATCTCTATCATTGTACAGCTGATCCTTAAGTTGACGATTAAGAGTAAGTGGCTCATTGATCATTAGATGGATTCAGCTTATTGGTATATATTCTTCTTTTGCAGAGAGCTACTTTATGTCGGTACATTTGGTTTTCCAGTTGTTGCCTTTCTTCTTCTACACCTATTTGAACTATGTAATTTTACTGGTATTCGTACCCATGCAGGGACGCGATGGGCCTGATAGCAAACCAGATATGCTGATTGCAATCTTCATCGCCCTGATGACGATGCATTTTGCTGGATTCATAGTATGTCCTAAAGAAAAAATAACATTATTGCTGTGCATATAACAAATCTTCGATTTTCAGATACCAATTTTAAACAAATTCCGCAAATCAAAGATCTTTATCTCAATGTTTGGAGTACTTACCATTATATTCATTATATTAGCCGCCACGCCTGTGGGCTTCCCTTTCAAAGAGGATCTTGCCGCACAGCGCTACTATGTTCTGGTAAGTTCCTTTTCCATTGACTCCACATCCATCGTAATCCAATGTTTTATTTAGCACACGCAACGCACACTGCACAATGCGGACAATAGTATAACACAAGAAACTGGATTTTATATACAACCCGTTGATACTCGATACTCGGAACTTTATGATACAACGCTTAAGAACGTGGAACCCGACAGCTGGCTCGCGGATAACTGTGCTTCGGAGCCCTATTGCAGTCTACCGCTATACAGTGGACGTTGGCTGGATTGGAAGTACGTCCGAAACGTTAATTTGGTATAATCTCAACTGATCTCCATTATTTTGCTCTTAGGGATTCAGCGCGTTGGATCTACAGTACGGCGCCAGTGTTTCCAGTTGTCACAGAGCTCACTGAGATATCGAGACAGTCTATTAACCAGAACAAAAAGCGTTACGAGTTCAGTTTAAAGGCTGGTGATCGCATTGTCATCTACGTTGATCCAATGGAGAACGTGAAGATTACCAACTGGTCGTTCGACGAAACCGTCTTGGTGGATGGCCATACTGCACCATATTTCATATACCATGTCTCCTCCATGGTTAAGGAGCCCTACAATTTCTGGCTGGAGTTTGAGCACGATGCGGCCAATACAGATGGACCGTACTTCAAGCTGGCTGTGAGTGTACATTTCCTTTACCATCCGGAGTATTACACGAGCGAGTTTAAGGAATTCCTTAGCACCTTTCCGGCCTGGACATATACTACCGATTGGTTTGCCTCGTATGAGAGTTGGATTTTTTAAAAGCTACAAACGAATAGTTTACAAATTTCTGTAACTTAATAAATTATTTTAAATATATTTTAACACAATTATAAGCTAATCGTTTCGTTAGGAGTTAATTTCAATTAAATTCTATATTTTTAATTTAAATACAACTTTTGTTCGTTGGATGTCCGCTTGTGCGAGTATAATGTGTGAACTTGTGTTTAGAGTATGGGTGAATACAAAAACTTAACAACAGTTCTGATATCCGAACTATGAGTAGTGAGTTTTGAATATCAAATGTTAAATAAGACATTTTAGCAGCTCTTAGAGTTGCCAACTATTGTAGGAACCAATCCACGAGTTGACATGCGCCCAAGCAGGAAACCTGGCCAAAAACTCTCGAAAGTCTTCCTCTATAAACATATCATCGTGTATTCTATGGCCCATTATGGCAATTTTGAATGTTGCTCCGGACCAATTGGTGCTTTCACGCTGTTAGAACCAATTTACAAAAAAAAATTCAATTTAACTCTTTAGAAGAGGATAGCATTTGAGCAAAGCTTACCTCAAATTCCAAATTAAATCGCAAGGGTGTAGGATCTAAGGCATAGGACCAATAAACGTAGTGAGGCGGCGACAAAGACTTTTCCAACGGCTCCTTGGTGAAGGTCCAATCGACCAGTTTGGCATTATTTATTGGATCGATAAATATGCTTGCATGATCCGGCCCAGAAACCTCTAATGTAAACATTACGTTAGTCGACGAAGTGCTCTCTTTGTTTATTATTCTCAACGTTGGCAAATAGTCCTTGTTTGGCTCAGGACCAGGCACCCAATAGCTATTATCTCTGTTAAGATGAAGAGGTTTTAAGTATGGTATAAAAACTTAATGTACTCTTTGTGACTTACATTGCCTTCAGCCAACGCGAGCTGTAAATGGGAAAACCGCACATAATTTCTGTTTCACACGCGCTACGATCAGCTTTTGTAAAGTTGCTTCCATCAAAGAGTATATCATCCAGCGAATTGGGATGCCGATCCATGGGCATCACATAATAACCGGCATCGGTGTGGTTGACTGAGCTAGCAGCATCTGCGTTGTGGAAGGTGCGTGTCGTGTGCTGAAAGTTTAAAGTAAAATAAGGCAATGAGAAAAAACTTTAAGGATGCATTATGCGCAATGCATTACCACAGCAAAGAATCGCTGAACTGCTGTCTTATCCACATACGGGAACGCCACGGGCGTGGCAGCCAGGATAATAAAGAGTATCGTACAGATGCCAAAAAGGGAGATGATGGTCTTGGATTTGCGGAACAGGCAAAATAAGGGTATCAGGAATGGAGATAGCAGCAAACAAAACAGGGCCGTAAAGCCACCAATAAGTATTTCCGGATTCGAGCCGCTTTCGCGTCCTTGCATCGGAACGAATACAACATAAAATGCATAACAGCAATATGTATAGAACATGAAGGGCAGGATTTGGCACAGACAGTGAGGTATGAGCCACATGAAATCTGTAAAAATAAATGGTTGCTTATTAAATCGACAAACCTTTTGGGACAATTAACAACTCACTTGTTTTATGTGCACATGTGGCCATGTTGAGCAGAACTGAGAGCGTGTAGAAGCCAATGCAGATGAGCAGACTGAAGGCCGAACGTATGTTAAAGGATATCATTATAATAGTAATTACAGTCAATATTAAGCAATGCGAGTGCATCAGAAGCTGAATGCCATACGCAAGTGGTAGACCATGCTAGAAATAAATAAAAAGTTCAATAAATAATACGCAAATGAAGCTAAAACAAAACTCACCTCCTTGGTGCGACTGAAGTAGATGGCAGGCAGTATGCCCAAGCCAAAGAACATGGGGCAGAAGTACAAGCCAAAGATCATCCAAGTCTGTGAAAACCAGGCCATGGATAAGCCCACGGCATCCAGGAAAAGAGCTATACAAATAGCGAGGCCCATGCTCAAGCAGACACCGCAGAGCTGAAGTGCTGCCAAAATTCCAAACTTAGCAAATATGCGGCGTCTGAACATGCCCGTATTGCTGGCCATACTCCAGATATAGGCGACAATCGTAATGAGCACCAGTACGCAGATACAAATATTGATAATAACGCCAACATAGTCCGGATAACAGACGAAAAACCAGCCCAACACATCAAAGAATATCATGTGTCCCTCGGCATATTTCTGAGAACATTTTAAGATTATTATAGATAAATTATATTAACAAGATATGTTCTAAGACTTACCGCTGGATCTTCCAACTCGGGCGCATTAGCCAGGGCTTTGATCAGACCCAGCAGATTTTCTCCGGTCAGCTGATAAGTACGCCGAGGTATCAGATTGAAGCGATCGTATTTCGTATGATATACAAAGCCATTTGATGTATGAGCCATATCGAGACCTGGAGAAACAAAAAGAAGCTTTAGAGTCAGTTCACATTGGCGCAACTGTGATCCCTTGCTTTACCAGGTATTTTGCCATAGTCGCGGAATATGCGATAATCAGTCTCTGAGGGTATGAAACCGTTTTGAAACAGTTCCTCGCCAATTGTTGAAGCAAAAGGATGCGTGATGTGATTGCCATAGTACTGGACCAGGTTATTCAATTAATTAAGGGTAAATAAAACAAACAGTAGTTGACAGGGTACCTTCATTAGCCAAGGATGATCGGGTCCAGACTGAAACAGTATCTCCCGACCGCCACTACCAGCTGAATCTAGGTTGACCACAGCGCTATAAAATGGTTTAAAAAGAAACTAGAAATTATATTTTATTTTGGGAAAATTGTCTGATTGTAGCTTACCGCACATTATGAGCCCAGGGATGCTGCGTGATGAACGCGTGCGAGCCCTGGAGAGGATTCTCCTCAGCGCCGTTGAAGAGAAAGATGAGCGTATAGGTGAGTGGAGTCTCATATTTCGTTATCACACGCAGCACCTCCAGCATGATGACGCACATCATGCCAGAGTCACCGGCACCAGAGCTGCCGGGCACCGAATCAAAGTGACTGTTGATTAGCAAAGCCGCCTCGCTGGTTGCATTTTTGGGTGAGAGCTTTACAACCACATTTTGGATGCTCTGATAGACGTTCACCATGGACCAGAGCAGGTAATTGCCGGAGGCTATCTGTACATCCTTCTCAATGTCGTACAGATCGGTGCGAGCACCGTCAATGATCTCACTGATCTCGCTGAGCAGGAACTGCACAGCGACTTGCTCATTCGCCGCACTGCCCACAACTTTCGGACCGATCTTTGACAGCCTTAGTAGAGTGCCCTCCGCACGCTCTCCAATAAACTGGCCCGGCTGCTGCAGCTCATCCTGCAGCGTCTTCAGCGGTGGCATTCGATGGAAACTGGGCACCACCACCAAATAGAATAGCAGAAACCAGAACGCCACAAAGAGCGGGGCCCAATACCAGCCAATTTTGCTGCGATTGTAGATGATTTTCATGTTCTCATATTTGGAGTTCATCTTTTCGCTAAAATGAATAATGAATAAAGAATAATGAGTGTGAACATAACACAGCCCCACCGCGCCACCATAATTGACTCAATTGACTGACGAGTGCTGACCATTGAAAATGAATAAGCCACAGTCATTGTCAGACTCATGGAGAGGGTGGCGTTTAAATAATTAGGAGCTGTTATAGGTCTTTAGAAGCCATCCATTTCCGCAACCGAAAATATGTGAGCCTGATGGTAATCAAGTGGCTGAACAGCATTGTCGGTGCTTGTGGGTCTCAAGTGGACTCAACTCAAAGCTGACAGCATGATATATTCGTGATATGTTACGCGATTATGCGAATCACTCACAAGTACTCACTTTGATCGAAAGGGCGCGACGGAAACAACTGTCAGATAGTCAAATGAATTATCAAAACAGATTCATCAATGAACTTGTCCAACTTTAATAATATTTCAATAAGATATCGGTAACTGGCGCAGTAAGCATGGAGAGACTTCAAGTACTTTCTGCTAAGTAAACAATCTTAACTGAAATACATTGAAATGATAAGGCTACCCAGGCTAGACGCTCTTCTGTTGCGCATTTTTTGTTTTGGTGAACTCATCTGTAGATCGATTTTGTCATAGTTTATTTCAGTTTCGTCACTAGCGTGAATCTCAATGCAGAGGACGACATGTGTTGGCCCAGAAACATTAAAAAAAATATTTAATTTCTCATCTGGACAGCTGATGATTTGCTCGAAAACAGGAGAAAACACAATGCAAACAGGCAAAATAGCAAATTAAATTTCATCAAACGTTCAACAAATATTCATTTGTGAACTAATTCTAGACATAAGCAATGCGAAACAGCCGTAAATTAAACGGGACACATTTTGTAAATTTTAATGCGATATTTCGTTTTTATTTATAGCGAACCCGGCGCATAATATTTAAGTTTAATGATGTTCTCTATGCCGTTCGCATGAGTTATCTGTGTGTATTTGAGAATTTGACAAACATTTTTAAAGGATTGCATCTTCAATACCCTGTAAAACAATGCCAGATTAAGTGTCAGATATCTTAGAGTAAAGCCCAAAAGATTTAGGTTTCAGAAAGGCTTGACAAACTCAGGTAAGCTAAGTAGAGCTTTGACTGCAAAAGCATAAATACACATACCTTTACCTACTCACACAAACGCAACGTTTGACTGCCCCATAGAAAGCCTCTAAGTGCAGTTTGTGCAAAGAAAATTTGTACTGTGACGCATGGCTAAGAAAAATATTTGTATAAAAGAAAACGAGAGAATTCGGCCAAATGGTTACAGTCCGCATGGCCTATAAACAGAAAAGTGTTGGATGTTTTTGAGAGTGAAGCAAATAAAAGGCAATTTGTACTTGTGGCTAATGATTAAAGTGCATGCAAAATGCAATTGGGGTCCCTTCGACAGCGACCCATTTATAGCAATGCGCCTCGTGACCCTCAGGGGCCAACCGCGATGCGGCGATTAAAAGCGGCCGTCAGACCGAGACGCAAAAAAAATAAATTCACATTGCAGACAGACAGACAGAGGGGTGTGTGTGTAAGTGGAGCGCACTCGTTTCACAATACTCGTAGTTCATCAGTGTGGTTGTAGAGCAAGTGTTGCTGGGACGTGTTCCTAATCGATTTAGCATGCAAGTGTGTTTTAATCAGTGGCGGCCTTAGCTATTTTCATTTTTGCTTCTTATTATGATTGTTAATTTTATTTCCGAGCCGAACAAAAAGAGTGAGTGTGTGTGGCCACGCCCACACAGCTAAATTGAAACAAAACAAATAAACAAACTGGAATGGAAGAGCCATGCAAATGAGCTGTGTGGGGGAGGTTCAAGAAAATTCTATTTAAAGGCTATCTAAATGGGAAGAAAATCCAAACAGTCGGAGCAGCGACGGCAATCAACTGTGACAATAACAGCCGCAACAACAACAATAACAACAACGTTTGTTTGAGTTGTGGCGACAGAAACGAAGCGGAAGAGACAGCCCAATCCACAGTATCTGACAGATACAGATACAGCAACAGCAACAGCAACAGCTACAAGCTGCAAGCTACATGTGCGACATATGCCGCAAGGGCCGCAACATAAGAAGTCAATAACCTGCCTTTTGACGCTCTGCAACTTGCCACACAAACACACACACATACACACAACAGCGAGAAGCACACGAAGAAGACCAAAAGGAAGTTGCGGTTGTGTTTATGGCTGTTGAAAGAAAGCAACCAAGTGCCTCGCGGTACCACAAGAAGCCCAACAAAATGTTTTGAATATGAAGAGTACACTCACTGAATACAACCACCACAATTGCTTGCAAATCGAGTTTTAAAATCAACTCTAATCCTTAATTTCTATGATTTGCACTCACTGTTTTTGTGTTTTTTCATTGACTCGCGCAATTTTAATGAGCAGAACACTTGCCAAAAATAAGCACGAATATTTATATATTTAAATATATGTAAATTTTGTTCAATTTGTTTTGTTGCCTTTTCAAAAAGGCGATGACAAAATGCTCAAACTCGGCCAAACGGCAGCGGCAACATGTGCCATCAGCTGACACGAACAACACGAGAGACAAGAGACACACAAAACGCACAACAACCACAACTGTTGCCTTCAGCGGTCGCCGCACGTCTGGCCGGGCACAGAGAATACACAGCAGGAGACGCGCAGGAGAGAGCCACCATGCCGAAGAGCAAGAGATCACAGCACGATCCACATATAAGAGTAAATGAGAACTTGTTGTGCTCATCGAACTCACTTGATGATCATGATGTTGTCGTTGTTGGCATTGTTATTGTTAGCGTTGCACTTCGACATGTTAGCACCGAATACGTAAATCCAATCCTGTCGAGAAAGAGTTCCAGCTGCTGCTCTGGACTTGAACGCGTGCCGTCGGTCCGCGTACTAAACTTTTGAACGGCGAATGGCAGTATTTGTATACACAACTCCCGAATTTATGGATTTGAAGTGGTTGAGCCTCAAGAGCTGCCATACCATGGGCTTATGATAAGCCCATATAATCGAATTAATCGAGCAAGCAAATTAACGATACGAGGGCAATTCCGTTCACTTTTTGCAATATCTTAATCAGTTCTTAAAACTACGGAAATTTTGAGAAATCGCTAGATTGATCTTTGACAACAAGTGTCTTATCATTAGACTAACTTTTTCATTTTTAGCTTTATTATTCAAGAAATAGCTCGATGGTAAGAATTTTCCATTACCTGTGCCGAAAACTAATATAAATTATTTTTCTGATCGATCGATCGAAAATTGGATTGGGCTCAGAATTAAATAAGCTTATTTCATCTTTCATCTAGATTTAAAAATAGGTTGATATTCCTTAATCCCTTTTTTCATTTGAAAAACATATTCCACCCCTCGAACTTACATTGCGGCGCTCGGGGCCTAGTTCAAAGGTGCGGATTGGCGTTTATCATTGTTAAGGAAGGGTCGCGCGAACCTATATCAATTCGAATCGCAAGCGCATAGATACTGGCAGCAATTGGCGGGTCGATAAGCCTGTGACTTCACCAATAATAAGCGAATTTAATAATTATTGGCGCTATAATTGATAAGTGTTTGGCGATAAAGCTCTCAAATGCTTTGGATTAAGGTACAAGTAAACATGCTCTTTGATTTCTATGCTCTCAACAAGTCAGACATTGTCGAGCTCAGATTTTGCATGCGATTGGCACATTGACGCTAATAAGTATGCGTACGGATCTCAAGTCAAACACAATAGACGATTACAAAATAGGTTGTGTGTGATACAAGTATGTTGCCCAAAATTAAAAGAACACGTGCCTATTTAATTCACAATTTTGAGTAAAATTTAAAATTTTCATGCTATAGTATACCACAAATATATAAGTTTTCGGAAATATACTTCTGTACACACATATAATTCAGCGCTACATTATGCCATTCAGCAGTATTTCAGATTGTGGCAATCTTGTGTATGCGACCTTGATAAATGTAAGAGGAGAGCTTGCGAACTTGCGAACATTTGCAATATGATTGCTGATATTTTTGGAATAAGAGTAATATGAGTTTAAGAAGGGTAATTATTTGTGCAAATTTCTGGAAATATGTGTTAAGCTGTTATCTGTGCTTGCTTGGTCAACATTTTCTATTTTGTTGTTATAATTATAGATTGAAACGGACCTTTCTTTCTTTAGCTGCGAGCAGATATATGCTGTATTTAATTCACAATTCGACTGAATGGCATTTGTCTTTCACAGCTCTTAAGTCAGAAATGAATTAATTTTAAAGCCCTGCAAGCATTTGCTACAAGTTAGGATTTATTTAAGTATGGGGCTAAAAATAAAACTGGGTGGCTGCCACTTGACGTTGCTGTCGCCCAGTCGAGCGCGAAAATAGTAGCTGACATAATTTCAGATCAGGTAGCATCGGCGAGCGAGTCAATTTCCCAGCGCTGAGTGCATTCAGGCGTAACTCAGTCGACTCACACATACAAATAGGCATTTAAACAAAATGATTTAAATAACGAAAACAATTTGTTAATCAAGTGAAATCAAAGTAATTCGCTGCTCAGCTCGATTCCGAAATCCAAGCAACAAAGCGCGCATTTTCGAAACCGAGAGAGAACAGATATGGGAAAACAAAAGAATGGAATGACACATAAACTGAAATGGAATCAACGGCAAACAGCGCAAAAATTAATTAGTCAAGTCTATATAGAAACATGCATTACAAAACCAGGGACCAGAGACAGACAGCAAACAAGAGGCCAGAGACAAGTGACATAGCCAGCCAGGCACAACAGCTGCCTATCATGATGTCTCTGTCGTTGTGTTTGTGAATGTATTTGGGTTCGGGCCCAGGTCTGGATACTCTAGTCTAGTCAGTTAGTCAGTGAGTGGGAGAGGCATCGTGATGACGTTCAATAAGGGCATCAGAGCCAGTGAAATGTAGTATTCATAGGCTATGCCAATATGTAATGTTGCCAATTGGTTATTAAATGGATAAACGAGTAAATTGCAAAAACTTCTAAGGCTCCATGCCGCTACCAATAGAAAGATATCATATTTCTTCGTCATAAAGATAAAACCCGTTAAATAAAAAAAGAACAACAACCCAGAAGAACAAAAAACAAGCCATAATCGTAACAAATTATGGACTACTACACAGGTGTCTAAATACTACCGTAACAACAAGTGCGATAATAACATCCAATAAGACAAAAATCAAGCCGAGTTCGGTGTTCGAAGGGTACAATAATTGCTCGTGTTTATCGTATCAACATTAGATATTGAATTCCTCACGATAACTCTGACGTGCGCCATTCCCTAAAGTCCCCCGTGCTCATATTTTAAGAGCGTTGCGCGATTTAAACTTTCATTTGGGTAGTTCCAGTGACGGCCGAAAGACGTGGTCGATCTTAACAATCCACCGAATCGTCTCGAAGTGACAGTGCCGTGTAGTATTGAAATACTCGAAGGATAAGCATCAATATAAACCTTATAGATTATTAAAATGGGTGTACGTATAAAATAACATGAAATTAAAAAAGGAGCACAATGTTTCAGGCTAAAATGTGTTAAATAAGATGCATTACCGAATCAATGAACTTTTCGAAACGATGAAATGCGTGATGTTTGCTTTAATGATATTTTAGCTGATGAACAACAGAATTGAGTGTAAATTATAATATTGGAGGACTTCGTGTTTAATTATTTGCAGTTGCAAATTTGAAATATTGCCAAATAATTTGGAATATGTGGAGTTAACGAGCTAGTTTAAAAAACAATGCAAACAAAATATACCATATCGAAACAGAAATTTGCTGACCTAAATTTAATTGCGTGTAACAAAATTGCGTAGATTGTTTGTTTTAAAAACCAAAATTTGTGTTTGCCTCTTTTTTTTTGCAGCGAAATTTTGAATTTGATTAAAAACAAAAGAGATTATCTGAAAATTGATCTGGCTACTGAGTTTCTCGTTGCGACTGCTTCTAAACTCTTATCTAAACGAAAAATTTCAAATTGGCTAACTCAAGTGTTAGGCACGTTTTTAACGTGTGCCCAACATCCCAACTTATCGCACTGACCAAGCCGAAGTCGACTTATATTAAATAAAAAAAAAAAAAAAAATAAATAAGTGCAACTAATCGTTATTATCTTAGATAACCCCGATTACTTTGGCTATGGCGAACAGATCAAAGAAGCCGCACGATTTGCAAATTTGTTTTTGCTTGTTGCCAATGTTTGGCGATGTTCAGCACCTAATCAATTTATTGCAGTTATTAAATATTATCAGACAAGTATTCGGGCACGTTGACCACACGCCCACATGAATCATGTATGAAACACGCGACGTGTTTAGATTTCAATGTCGGCCATTGTTCCAGTCGCTTCAGCTGAAATCTAGTTGGTGAAATGTTAAAATTTCGCAAAAGAGCTGCTTATCAGCATGCCTATAAGTTAATAGGAGCACAATTGACTAACCGGGGGGCCAATAATTTACCCTGTTGCCATACCCATATAAAAGGAACCCGACCTTAATGTAGAGCGTGTCATGTAAACCCCAAAGCTTGCAATTAGCTCGGTAATTTCTTTGATTAGCCCTGACATTCGCTCATTGCGGGCAATCAGTGTGCACCCTCGTCCGACGATTAGATACCGAGTGGCTGTCGGGAAACGCGGCTTGACCATTATAACAGCTATAAATAGCATTTAGAGCTGGTAGTTGGGCACATCCAATATAATAATTAATAATAACCGATAAAAAAATAAATGTTTTTATACTTTCCGTGCAGTTTAACTCCAAGTACCATATCGATGTGGACTTTGAGGTGCCCAAGAAGCTCCAATGGTACTATGCGCCCGCCTTCTTTGGCTTCTGGTTTGTCATTTACCTGTCGCTGGTCAACACCCAGATCAATCACATGCCCAAGCCGCTGTTACGCACCGATGAGGCGTCCCATCCACGAGATTTCATAGCACAGCGCGCGGAGGATACCCTTATTGAGTTGACACGGATTGGTCCACGTGTTGTCGGCAGCATTGCCAACGAGGTAACCACCGTGCAGTTTTTCAGGGACGAAGTGGCCAAGGTACAGGCGGAGGCGAACGATCGCTTCGAGTTCGAGCTCGATGTGCAGCAGGCGAGTGGCGCTTACATGCACTGGACCATGGTGAACATGTACCAGGGCATACAGAATGTGGTCGTCAAGCTGAGCGAGAAGGGCAACACGAATGAGAACTATCTGCTGATCAATAGCCACTATGACTCAGTGACTGGGAGTCCTGGTGCTGGCGATGATGGCTCCATGGTGGTGACCATGCTGGAGGTGATGCGCGTCATTGCCAAGTCAGATGAGCCACTGGCACATCCCATTGTCTTTCTATTCAATGGAGCCGAGGAGAATCCGCTGCAGGCCTCGCACGCCTTCATTACGCAGCACAAGTGGGCCAAGAACTGCAAGTGGGTGCACTTTGATTTTAGCTAATCCTGACTTGAACATCGATTGTATCTTACGCAGAGCTCTGATCAATCTGGACTCGGCAGGCAGCGGCGGTCGCGAAATCCTTTTCCAGTCGGGGCCCAATCATCCTTGGCTCATGAAATACTATCGTCAGGTGCCGCATCCATTTGCCAACACATTGGCCGAAGAGATATTCCAGGCTGGTCTGATACCATCCGATACAGATTTTCGCATTTTTCGCGACTATGGCGGTGTGCCCGGTCTGGACATGGCCTACATTTTCAATGGCTACGTCTATCACACAAAATTCGATCGAGTGAATGTTTTTCCACGCGCCTCCTTTCAACACACCGGCGACAATGTGCTGGCTCTGGCTAGAGCTCTGGCAAATGCTCCCGAACTAGATGACATTGAAGTAAGTCAGTTTCAAAAGCTTTTGATCTCTTCAGACAACTTGATTTGCAAATTTCTATGTCCTTGTTTATCTACTAATAATTTCAGGCTCACGCCGAGGGTCACAATGTCTTCTATGACTTCCTGGGCTGGTTTATAATTTTCTACACGGCAACCACAAGCATTATTATAAACGTGATTGTAAGTGTGGTTGCGCTTCTGGCGATTGGCATCTCCGTGTACTTCATGTCCGTCAGATCCGGCTGTAGCTTGTCGGGCGTTTTGTTGCGATTTGGTATTATATTAGGCATACAGCTGGTCTCTCTGGCTCTTGCTGCTGGCCTAGCGCTTTTGGTGGCGGTTTTCATGGACGCTGTTGATCGATCACTGAGCTGGTTTACGGAGATGTGGCTGATAATCGGTCTATATTTATTTCCAATTATCGTGGGCATGAGTCTTTTGCCGGCTCTCTATCTGGAGAAGACTAAAAGGGATCCGCTCAGCCTCGGTTTTCGTGTACAGCTCTTTATGCACTCCCATTGTGTTTGCTTAGTTATTCTGATAATAGTTCTGACATCCATTAGCATACGATCGGCCTATTTTATAATGTTGTGCGTACTGTTCGATATTGTGGCGCTGGTTGTGAATCTGGTTACCAAATGGCATCGCAAAGGTTGGTTTTTAAGCTTATTAACTGGTCAAATGTTTTAATTCCTAACTATCCTATATGCAGCATATTGGTTTGCCATTGCCGTCATGATTTGTCATATACTACCCTTTACTTACTTCACCTATATCTGCACGGTGGCACTTAAGACTCTGATACCAATGCAAGGTCGTTCGGGTGGCTCATCTAATCCGGACTTAACCATAGCCATCCTTATGTGGTTGTTTTCGCTCATGTTTGCGGGCTTTATTGTGAGTACTTAATGCGCAACTATATTGGAAGCAGAAGAGAAACAAAATTTGACTTTCATTCAGGTGCCACTCATCATGTTCTTCCGGAAGACGAGAACGATTGTCTTGTGCTTTCTGGCTGGCACAATTTTGTTCATCATTATTGCAGTCACGGATGCAGGCTTTCCATACCAGCCCAAGACGTCTGCTCAGCGCTACTCCTTGATTGTAAGTTGAGCTTTTAAATGGATGCTATTAATTTTGGGGCATACAAAATAATTTATATGATTTTTTAGTATGCACATCGAATACTGCATAATGCTGATGGCACGACACGCACTGATGAGAGTGGAGTTTATGTTTATCCTCAAGATCGACGGCTCAGCATAGCCGAAGGTATGTCTATTATCAGTTTCTGTTGGTTCAAAAACCTTGTATTTTTTCCACTTTTTTGTAGATGAAATCAAGACAATCGGCCAGACACATAAAGTCAGCGAGTTCTGCGAGGAGGAAATGTTCTGTGGCATGCCATTATATAATCATCGTTGGCATAAGGCCCGCGAATATAGTCTATGGATACCGGTTAACGAGCAGCCACAGATACCGACGGCATACCCCACTTTGACTCTACAGGAAACCACAGAGTTGGATGGCTCAATGCAAAGGCGATTTAACTTTTCCTTGGAAGGTCCCGATCACATGACTATATTTGTGAATGTGAAAAACAATGCCAAGCTGCTGGATTGGTCCTTCAATGAGACGCTCATAAGGGAAAATGAGCCACCGCCACATTTTGTGTACTTCTCCTATGGTCTGGATAATAGTGCCCTTGAGTTCACCATCGATGTTGAGGTTTGTTTTGTTTGCCCAAATTTTTGGATCTTTTATGCTGATCCGTTTATATACATTTCAGAAGACAACATCAACGTTTGACACACCCACCCTAGAAATAGGCATTGGTGGGCATTGGGTGCATCATGAAATTGCAAGATCTCAAGGATTGGGCGCATATCTCGACCGCTTTCCGTCTTATACCTATGTACAAGCCTGGGTAGGCACCTACGAGAGCTGGTACTTCTAAAGAGGCCATCGATAGCAATAACAAATAAAACTATAATAGATCTTGGTATTTAAATACTAAACTAATTCAAAATTAAATTATAATCACATTGATAGAATCTGATAAATATATATAATTAGTAACATGCTTTCGCAGTAATGTGTAGTCTTACAAACATGTGTAACATGTGTAAAAATTCAATATCTATGTAGATTTTTAAAAACTAACAAAAAATAAATATATAAAAATCCAATTTTTTTAAATCTCAAGAAAAACAGAACACCGATCTTCGAAGTGCTGTATTATTTAAGAAGTGTTTTACACTTATCGCAGAATCCAAGCTTCCTATTGTGAAAAATTCATGTTTGCTTTGTACATATGCAAACATGCATGCATACGTAAATGTATGAATAAATGTCCGGATAACTACACATAAACATACTTTCATATATGTACTTAGATACATATGTACATCCACACATATGTACATTCATATATATATGTTCATACGTACATATACACACGTACATGCATACATACATATATATAAACATACATACATACGAACACACAAAAAAATAACAGACAAAACGAAAACAACAAAAAAAGGACTACATTACGAGCTGAACATGAAAATTGCAGAGCCTACTTGAATTCTTAAGAATCGAGGAGTAGATCAATTGGTAGAAATTAGTTATATTTACACTTGCAGCTTAGCGGCAAGTAATCCTGGCCTGTGGAACGAACATGCATGCATACATATATGCGCGCATGCATACATAAATGCGCATGCGTACACTTACACACACACACACAAACACGCATCCGTGCGGTAAATGGCCTATAAAATACTTCCACAGCTAGTATTTTATAAATATCAAGCTAAGAAATGTATATAAATTTGTAAAAAAGGGATAGAAATTCGCAAATCTCAAGAACTTATTTATATGTCATGTTAGAGATATTTCCAACCGTGCGTGTTTCGTGTATTGAAGGAACATTTGCCCACCTCTTGTTCTAACTAAATCAAGAGACACATTCGTTCGATAAGTGTGCTTATAATGACTTTTATCAGTATATATAAAAATAGTGTTTTATATTAAAAAAAAACCATAAATCTATTGTAAATTGTTGATAATGTATTCTTCCAACCAAACAAGCTCATTAGGCGCTATCTAAAGCAGACTTCCAATAAAACTGCTTTATAAACATGGTACATTTCGTGAATTGAGATATCGGGAATAATATATTGCTGACTCAAGCTTATTTTCGGTAATTTATATCGAAGACTGATTAATGTGTTTGAAGTAAATGCCGCCAATAATATGAGAGCTTCCTATAGGACAATAAAATAGACTGTTGCCAAAAAAGGGGCAGTCTTAAGAGTAACGTGAATACTTATATTCAGTATAATTTTATAAGGGTATATAAATTTGCTAAATTTTAAGCAATTTTTTTTGCTTAATATCAGGGTTGTATTAGGGTCTATTATTCTTCAAAAGTTCTTTTTTTAGATCTTCTTTTAGATAGATTTGTAATTAATAAAAACCAACCTTATTTTGCTACCCTCGCACAGTCTTTAATCAGACAATCAAATTATATGATTTTATTATTACTGAACTTTTCCAGTATTTCATATCAAAGTTATGTTACGAACGGACTTGATTGCTATAAAGTGGCCTAAAATTCGAATTACGGAGTAGTTCAAATTTGCCAAGCATTGGACTCACCAAACGAAAAATACAGCAAGCGAACAATATGAGTGACAAGGATAAGCTTGTAAAAAAAACGGATTTATTATACAATTTGACTCTTTAAATTTTTAAATTTTTCATTATATGTAGATATGGCATGAGTCTGGCGAACGATTTGTGGATACCCCTCGAAATGGTGTTAAAAATGAACAGAACAGAAAGTTACCTTGGTACTTTGCAAGTGGATTTCTACTGTTTTGGGGGCTCCTCTTTTTCGCAGTTGTGATACCATTCTTCTATCGGTTACCTACGGCTCGAACAGTAGAGGACGCATATACAAATGAATTTATTGCGGAACGTGCGTACAAAAATCTTTACCATCTGTCAAATATTGGTACCAAAATGGTCGGTTCTAAGGAAAACGAGGTTGAGGCTGTACAGTACCTTCTTAAGGAGCTTAATCAAATTAAGGATGAATCCCTAAAAGATTACTTCGATATTGAAATTGACTTATCGCAAGTCTCTGGTCAATTTAAATATGCAAATCTGATTATCTTGTATCAAGGAGTTCAAAATATTGCTGTAAAAATAGCTTCAAAAAACAGCAAAAGCGATTCATATCTCCTTGTTAACAGCCACTATGATTCCAAGCCAGAAACTCCGTCTGCCGGTGATGCAGGTTTTATGATTGTCACGATGTTAGAAGTTTTGCGTGTTTTGGCAACAACAAAGCAAACCTTTGAACATCCTATAGTCTTTTTGTTCAATGGGGCTGAAGAAAGTTCTATGCTAGCATCGCATGGCTTCATAACTCAACACAGATGGGCGCCCCACCTCAAGTGAGCTATATTTTATAGAATTTCATTTAAATTATATAACATATCGAACCTATGTATTTACAGAGCCGTGGTTAATCTCGATGCTGCTGGAAGTGGAGGGCGAGAATTACTCTTCCAGAGTGGCCCCAACTATTCTTGGCTTGTAGACGTAAGCGAATTTATAAATGATTATACCCACCTACCATGTTCCTATTCATTTGCAGTATTACAATAAGTTTGCTAAACACCCCTTTGGCACAACATTGGCCGAAGAAATTTACCAGTCTGGTGCGCTGCCTTCTGATTCTGATTTTACAATTTTTAAAGAGCACATTCCAGGTACGTTGAGAGTACAGGATTACGAAATTACAAAATTGATCAATTTTATGTATGCATATAGGACTAGACCTGGGTCAATGCTACAACGGTTTCGTATACCATACCAAGTACGACGTGATCGACGTTATTCCTCGAGAATCCTTGCAGAACACCGGTGACAATGTCCTTAGTCTAGTTCGAGGATTGGCTAATGCAACTGAATTACACGATACAGAAGTATATGATAGAATCTCAAACTGTTAGCACTAAATTGTATTTTTACTTCTTAAACTTCATTCACAGGCTCATAAGACTGGACACGCTGTGTTCTTTGACTTTCTGGGAATCTATTTTGTACACTACTCAGAGGCTACGGGAATATCGGTGAATTTTGGCGTTGCCGGAGCTGCATTCCTTTTGGTTTTCATTTCAATGTGGCGCATGGCAGCTGTCTCTCACGTTACCATATGCCACGTGGTGTGCTGGTTTATATTGGTCCTAATCGTCCAGGTTATCTCTTTTGTACTCGGACTGGCTCTTCCTATTGTGGTTTCATATGTATTTGACAATGTAGGACTTTCGCTGACTTACTATAGCACTCCGTTGCTGGTGATTGGTCTTTATGTGTGCCCCTCACTCATTGGACTTAGTTTGCCCATAACTATGTACTACAATATCCAGTGCAACGTAAGTTCTGATCTTGTAGGAATGTAGTCACACGTTTTCTAATAAATTGTCCCTTTCCAGGAAAAAATCTCGACAGCGTATCATATCCAACTGGCAGTGCATGCTCATGCTGTTATTTTAGCTTTTCTAGCCATTTGTCTTACATTATTTGGCTTGCGTTCCTCTTATATTTTCGTAATACCACTTGTTTTCTATGTTGCATCCTTGGTCTTGAATTTATTGACTACTCTGCATGACCGTGGCTATGCTTGGACGGGTCTGCTTAAGGCAAGCCAGATAATTCCTTTCCTCTATAGCAGCTACCTTTTCTATCTATTCGTGGTGGTAATTACACCAATGACCGGCCGTTCGGGCAGTGCATCCAATCAGGACTTATACATTGCTGCCCTGGCAGCGATAGGAACAGTCCTCTCGTTTGGCTTCTTGGTAAGTCTGCGTAGCCACTTCTGTACTAAATATGCTTCTAATTTTTTATGTGAACACAGATCCCTCTTATCAATACTTTCCGACGACCCAGTTTTGTGGTGTTCTCCCTGCTTGCAATCACAGCTGTCGCTATGTATTTAGCAAGTAGTACACAAATCGGATTTCCCTATCGACCACGGACCAATGGACAGCGAGTTGCATACCTGGTAAGTCTACCATTGGCTTTACTGATTTGTAGTACGTGATCCTATGGACGATCTGTTTATTACAGCAAGTGCGAAATATGTTCTACGAGTACGATGGAACTCTCAGTAAGGATGAATCTGGTTATCTATTTAATTTTCAAGATAGACGTGAAGAAAAACCTTTATTGGACTCAAACGTCAATCTGACTGGATTGGTTAGCATAAAATCGAGATGCGAGAAGCACATGATGTGTGGAATGCCTTTGTATGATTTTCGCTACGTTGACAACCGGCTGCAAAGTAAATGGTTGCCACGTTCTGAGCCCATTATACCACCAGGATTGACGACATTGAATGTCCTGAGCAAGACTGTACTTAATTCAACCACTGTCCGATTTGAGTTTAGTTTAGTAGGCCCCCCTCAAATGAGTCTGTTTTTTGAGCCCTACGAAGATGTGACAATTAGCAACTGGTCGTTTTTACAAAGCTATCTTCAGAACCCACCACCTTATCCCTTGTCGTACCATATATTCTTTAATTACGGCATTGATAAATCACCTTTAAACTTTTTCGTGGAAATTTCGGTAAGATATTTTAAAACATAACTGTGCATTAATCTGTTTATATATTTTCTTCCATTTATTTTAGAAACGAAATGGAGACTTCACGGTACCCCTATTTCAATTTGGTGTGCAGGGACATTTTGTTGGAAATGAGGGCGATGTAGAAAGTGTGAAGTTTGCAACTCAATTCCCAGCCTATGCGATTCTAGCCACTTGGCCGTCCTCTTATTACAGATACATATTTTAAGTTTAAAAAAGTATTGTAACGATAATTTAGAGCTATGTTTAAAATAATGAATATCTTTTTTGAACCAGTTTTAAGGAATTATAAATTGTTTTCATAATTATCTGTCATAATAATTGTAAAGAAATGCACCTTAGACTGAAAAAAATAGCTATCGGAAATGGAATTGGTCATTTTTAATTTTAAAATTGACAATTCACAGGCACTCTGGTTATACCTATTATATAATCTCATTTATACAAACTCGTTAGTCTGCTTTGTGTGTCAATATCAATGGCGTCATAAAAGTGCCTTTAAATGTAAGTGATATTTATTTCATTAGGAACTTACCAAATTGAGAGATGAAATATTCCTTGGTGAACTGGTCGTATTTGTTAAAGAGCATTGCGAACTCCGCGACGTGTTCATTAATGTTAAATTAAACGTAGATGGGAGGTGGGATCCCTACACATTCTTGCTGTCCCCATTTTGTTTTCATAACTAGCTTTTATATTCAAATGAGCCTTGATCAGCTAACAGATGTTTTGGTCCATGTTAGCGTTTAGGGATTTTATGCCAGAGTATCCTTGGTCTCATCGCGGCTAAAAAAATTTGCAAAGAATTTGTAATACGTTACTCACTTATTGACTTATTAAAATTATTCTATGTATTATATTAATTTATGTATTACCTAACGATATTTTATCCACATTTAGTTTGTCAAATTATGACTTTCCTATTTCTTAGATACAACGAACGATTTTTAAGCACTTCCATTAGCTTCGAGTGTCAGTTACAAAATACTAAACCACTGCTCGATTCACCAAGTAGTCGAGAGCTTTTTGGACATTCAAACCTTGCCAAAGACGAGAAATCACTCGATTTCGAATTATATATAAGAACAATCTATGTGCCCATAGGAGCATAATTTCATTACACTGTACATTTTCGATACTGCTTGTTATCGGCATAATAAAATCATTTCATATACATGAACAAGCTAAGTGTTAGCCCATAAATTCATCAGGAAATACATATTGGTATTTTGATAAGCTAGAAGTTCCCAGTTGAGGTTTCGGGTATAGTTAGGCGCGTGTCGTGTTTAATTTTGAAACGTTAAGCGTTTTCCATTTAGGAATTAAAAAAAGCTTTTACATAAACAAACATTTTTCTGACCTATTTTCAACAGATACCTGAGAGTTTATTAATCCGTTATCTCTTAAGCTAAAAGCAACTGACAATGGGTATGTAAAAGTCAATATACTAAAAATTATGAAAATCAAGCTGTTATATGCACATTTATCATTTTATTGTGACTCTTTCAAGCCAATTATTGATTTGGCACGATAAATTAATTTATAAACGCGGACGTTTTACAATCCAGACATGATTTTCATTGCTCTTTGAATATAAATGCGATATACATTTACTTTTTCGTGGCAGTTCTTAGTTGTCAAATTGGGGTTCACTGCAGCAGACTAGAAATTCCCAACAAAACGATATGGCTGACAAGGAAAAATATGTAAGATCTAAAAAGGTTCCAGGAATGTGCAAATGTGTTTGTTACACAGATTTTTCACAGATTTCGTACGAGTTTGTCGAAGCATCTAGAAATGTTCTAAAGAAGGACGCATCCTTTAAAGTACCTTGGTACTTTGCAAGTGGTTTTCTGTTGTTCTGGGTACTCCTATTTTTCGCCGTCATGATACCATTTTTCTATCGGTTACCGACGGCCTTAACAATAGAAGATTCAAAGAAAAATGTGTTCATTGCGGAACGGGCGTATAAAAACCTCTACACTCTGTCTAATATTGGTACCAAATTGACTGGCAGTAATGAAAATGAGGTTGAGGCAGTAAACTTAATTCTAAACGAGTTGACACAAATAAAGGAAGATATGCTAGGGGAATTTTTCGAGATGGAAATTGACTTATCGAAAGTTTCTGGAGTTCACGGTTCAGGAACTACATTTAACATGTATCAAGGCATTCAAAATATAGTTGTTAAGCTAACACCAAAAGGTAGCAAGAGTGAATCCTACCTTCTAGTTAACAGCCACTTTGACTCCAAGCCGTTTACTCCATCCGCCGGAGATGCAGGTTTTATGATTGTCACGATGTTGGAAGTCCTGCGTGTCATTGCAACAACAAAGCAAGTCTTTGAACATCCAATCGTCTTCCTATTTAACGGATCTGAAGAAGGCGGTTTGCTAGCTTCCCATGGATTCATAACACAGCACAAATGGGCGCCACACTGCAAGTAAGCTGCGAAAGTTCCCAACAATCGCATTACACTTTATAAGCATTTGAGTTATTCTCAACTTTAATCATAGAGCTGTCGTTAACCTAGACGCTGCTGGTAGTGGAGGTCGGGAAGTTCTATTCCAAAGTGGTCCCAATCATCCATGGCTTGTAAAAGTAAGTCTTTAAACTTAAAACCGCTTTTTTTGTTATATAAACACTGGAACTATTCAACAGAATTACAAAGAATATATTAAATATCCGTTCGCTACTACAATGGCTGAGGAAATCTTCCAATCAGGCATTATTCCATCGGATACCGACTTTCGACAGTTTAAAACGTATGGCAACATCCCAGGTAGGTGTTATTAACCTTTCGAATTGTAAAGGATGTCGGCAAAAGAAATCACTTAACACAGGTTTGGACCTGGCTCAATTTATAAATGGATTCGTATATCATACAAAATACGACGTGATCGACGTAATTCCTCGTGAATCCTTGCAGAATACAGGGGATAATATACTAAGTTTGGTTCATGGCTTAGCAAACGCAACTGAATTGCGAGATACCGAGGTATAAGCTAGATTTCCGAAAATTTAGATTGATTTTATACTTGCATTGGTAATTTTCAACCCACAGGCATATAAGAGTGGAAACGCTGTCTTCTTTGATTTCCTGGGACTCTACTTCGTCCATTATTCAGAGGCTACAGGAACATATTTGAATTTCGGCGTTGCTGGAGCTGCCCTGATTTTCATTGTTGTTTCAATGTGGCGTATGGCAGCTATTTCCCGCGTTTCCATATGCCACGTGGTGCGCTGGTTTATATTGGTCCTAATCATTCAAATTATTTCTTTTGTACTTGGACTGGCTTTTCCTATATTGGTGGCATATGTATTTGACAATTTGGGACTGTCGCTCACTTACTATAGCACTCCATTGTTGGTGATCGGTCTTTACGTTTGTCCCTCACTCATTGGCCTCAGCTTGCCTTTAACAATATACTATAATCTCCAAGGCAACGTAAGCTTATAATCTCATATATAATTAATTGATCACATTTTGCAATGAACTTTCCATCTCCAGAATAAAATATCAACTGCCTATCATCTGCAACTGGCATTGCATGCCCAAGCCGTGATACTGGCTCTTTTAACTAATGGTCTTACATTATTTGGCTTGCGTTCTGCATATATTTTCGCTGTTCCACTAATTTTCTACGTATTATCTTTGGCCTTTAATTTATTGACTACTCTGCACGATCGTGGCTATGCCTGGACGGGACTGCTTAAGGCAAGCCAGATAATTCCTTTCCTATACAGCAGCTACCTCTTTTACATATTCGTTGTAGCGCTTACACCTATGGGTGGGCGTGCGGGGAGTTCCTCCAACCGGGACTTGTATATTGCTGTCCTGGCAGCAGCAGGATCGATTCTCTCGTTTGGTTTCTTGGTAAGGCTTCGTAACGACTCCTCTATTAAATATGCTGATGAATTATGTTATTAACACAGATCCCAGTTATCAATGCCTTCCGACGACCCAGTTTTGTGGTGTTCTCCCTGCTTGCAATAACCGCCGTCGCTATGTATTTAGCGAGTAGTACACAAATAGGATTTCCGTATCGACCGAAGACCAACGGACAGCGGATTGCCTATCTGGTAAGTGTCATATAAAACGTACTGACGGATATTATTTCATCCTAAAAGAGTGACTACGATTTCAGCAAGTGCGAAATATGTTCTACGAGTACGATGGCACTCTCAGTAAGGACGAGTCGGGCTACCTGTTTAATTTTATGGATCGGCGTGAAGAAAAGCCACTCTTGGGTACAAATGTCAATTTGACTGGATTGGTTAGCATGAAATCAAAGTGCGAGACTCATATGATGTGTGGGATGCCCTTGTATAGTTATGGATATATTCAGAGTAAACTGCAAAATAAATGGTTGCCGCGATCTGAACCCATCGAAACCCCAGCATCAACCGCATTGCAGAAGTTAAGCAAAACAGTTGTCAACGCCACAACTGTGCGCTTTGAATTCAATTTGACAGGCCCCTCGCACATGAGTTTGTTTATCGAGCCCTATGAAGATGTGACTTTAAGTAAATGGTCATTCGTGAGCGACGGTCAGGTACCATCAGCTTCCCAGCTACCATATTCTATATTTCTTACATACGGCATTGATAGCTCTCCATTAAACTTCTTCTTAGAATTAACGGTGAGATATAATTCGAAAGTTACATATTTCAATTTATATATACTTATCATTTTTAGAAACCAAACGGTAATTTCAACGTGCCATTATTTCAATTGGGAGTGTCAAGACATTATATTACAAAAGAAGGTGATGCTCAAAGCGTGAAGTTCGCGTCTTCATTCCCTTCATATGCAATTCTGGTGCAGTGGCCCGTATTATACCAAAGATACATTTTCTGAATTAACAAAAATAATATTATCAAGGATGTAAGCTGGTTCGAATCTGGAGCTCTAACATATATGTATTTAAGTATAATTTTTATGTATGTTGTATTTGTAAAAATCGACAATCTTTTCTAGGCTTGTAGCCATGGTTGCATTATATACAAACAAAGTAAGGACCATTCGTCAAATGAGTAAAAATAAAACCAATTTTCTCAGATTTTTGTTTAACCAATTTTAACAAATAATTTTGATAGCGCTTCTGTCAATGCCAGAACATATGTTAATATGTAGAGCAATGTGCTGTGCGCCCTGCTAAACAGTACATAAATTAAATAATAAAACAGTTCAGGAAAATATATAAGAACAATATACAATCCACAAATATAATATTAATGATCCTATACAATTTTTTGGCATTTATTTATATCCACTATTAAACAATAAATCTATTGTTAACAGGCAGTTTGATGAGTTGTAAGTTCATATTAAATGGTTTAGCTAAATCATGCAATGCAATTTAATTCTTGGAAAACATTATTGTCAATTATCTTATCTAGTTATTGTTTGAAGTATAAAATAGTTCCCAATGTGTAAATTTATCATTAATTACTTCCCATTATTTTTCTGTATTCTTAAGTTGTCTTCGAACAGCCCTCGAAAGCAAAAAGTGGAAATCAATATTATAAGTTAATAGCTATTATATTTCACAGAAGTATTAAAAAGATAACGTTCCCGGCCACTTTAAATCAGCCTACATTTAGTTTGGCTTAGCAGTTATTTGTAGGAAATCGTCAGACTAACTTCAATAGATCGGATTTTTTGAAAGACAGCATGGGCGAGAAGGAGACACTAGTAAGCAACACAATTTATCGTTTCAATTTAAGACTTTTACAGTTCTCAATTCAAAAATTATGCAGATATTAAACGAATCCGTCGAAGC